GAACACATGGAACTATTTATTATCCCTCGCCAACTTATGGAAGTATTTCCTTACAAAGCAGGAATTCAGAATGAACAGCCCTCAGACATGATCATGTCCTTTAACCCTCAGGATAAGAGAATCTTTGTGGGGCTATAAGTTGTTGAAAGCTCTGAAAGAATTCATTTTCAGGATTTATTTTTGTTTTTAATTATGTATACCTGTGTGCTTGTGTGAAGAATTATGCATAGAAGGGAAGTGCATGCAGAGCCTGGAAATGTTAGATAGCCTTGTGTTGCAGTTATGGGGTTTTGTGAGCTGCCTGCCTTGAGTGCTGTGAAACAAAATCTGGTCCTCTGCAAGAACAGCATGTGTTTTAAACATCCGAGCCATGTCTATTGCTCTAGACAAATTATTTTGTAAATACAAATTATGTTATTTTTTCTCGGTGTTTTCTGCTCCTGTCTCACTTCCACTGACCAGCCCCATAATTAGAACAGAAATGTGTGTGTGTGTGTGGGGGAATAAACTGTATTGCATAGATTTTTCAGAAGGTAGGTACACTCTACTGTTGTCATATTCCATTGTGTGCATAGGAGTCATATGCTTATTTTCTCAGCCTGAATAATGAGAAACAATCATGTTCCCCCACCTGCTTTCCAACACCCACCATTTGCCCAGGGAAAAGGGACTAAATGTTTGTTCTAGAAGTTTCCACCAATGCTTTCTGGGATAATCTGGGATGATCAATCACGGGAATTTAAGGACACATTGGGCTTAAGTCAAAGCACAGTGGGAAAATGGAAGAGTTTTGAAAAGGAATATATATATATATATATATATATATATCTCCTCAGAGATAAGGAAGCATATTGTTATGGGAAACTCAGGTTGCCATGACAACAATTCACTAGAACCCAGCTTGGAAATACGAGTTCACTTCTCATGTTTCTCTACTGTTTTCTATCTTAACAGTTCCGTGGGATCAAAAGCCCAAGTTCAAATTCCCTCTGAGACACAGAGGAAGTACAGCTGCCTTTGTAGCACAATGAAATTCTCAACAACTTACTTCCAAATGCAACAGCACAAAATAGAAATGACTAAAGGGAGGAAGAGCACACAAAGGAACGAATGAACCAAAGCAGCAATACAAATCTGAAGAATGAGTGTTAAATCATGATGCCTTTTGGGAAGTGTTTAGAGCATGTGCTGGCATCATTTTCTCCAAGAGACTTAGAAGCACACCCTGTAGCTTTGCCACACACAGTAGATTCTCTCTCTCTCTCTCTCTCTCTCTCTCTCTCTCTCTCTCTGATTCGCTCTCTTCCTCTGTCTCTGTCTCGGTCTTCCTGCATATTTCTGTTTATCTGTCTCTCTACCTACCTCTCCCCCAAGGAGAGGTGACTTAAAGCTACCCACCTTCCTCAGTAGAAATCCATATTCTTGGCTGTCAAAGCAGTAAGTCTTCATTGCACCCAGGGCTTTATTTATATCACATCATAACACAGAGTCACTCACAAATTCCCTAAATGGAAACACATCTTTCCACAGAAATGCCTAAACACCAGGCTTTCCCTAATGATATGGATGCAAGCCTCCATTACTCTGTAACACTTGGATCCGTCACACCAGCAATGCCACAGCCTAATGAGCAACACGTTCTTCATCCAGCCAACAGAAGAGCTCTTTCCTGTCTTCTGTGACTACACACTTTCTGGCCGCTGAAATTATAAATATGTCCCAAAAGTTCATTTTCCAGTGATGCAACAGGAAGATCCCTTTTGTGCATACTGTCTATCTCAAGAAATTTCTTTTACGTGAGACATTTGAATGAATGAGAGTTTCCCTTCAGACAACTTCCTGAGTGACTGCATAGTGATCAGCATCATCTCCTCAATCATCACCACTGACTGTTAGGTTTACTCTGTCCATGATCTAGCACAGGTTCTTGGTTGCATCTGTCGTAGGATATTCTACTTTCCTTTATCTCACAATTACAACTATAAGTCTTGTGCAAGCAGTAAGTAATGACCATGCCATACAACCTTTTCCACCTAAATTTTCTCTCGAGTGTCTTCCTGTAAATAGAATGATGTAAGATCCAGAAGCTAGACAACACTTAGTTGAATCTTTGGCTTTTGAAAATGCTCACTCGGGATGTCAAAAGGCGACAGAACCTTCCACAGCAAGTGGGACACTAATGGAGGAATGGATTGGAAGTACAGCAGACGCTGGATCTCGTGCTTATGACGACACTTGGATAGGAGAAGTGTTTTCTAAAGTTTTAAGAAAAACCAAAAGGTTAGATGTTTTAATTGTGCTAAATCAGGTCACCTGAAAGGGGACTGTAGGCAAGTTGTTCCTGGAAACGACGACTTTTCTAGAGATAATCCAAACAGAAGAAACCAGCCTTCTGGAACATTCAGAAGGTGTGACTAAAGGCAACACTGGATTAATGGCTCCAGATCAACCTGAGACAGGAAGTAAACCCTTGCTATTAGAAAGCACTTTAGGGGGGTCTCTCACCCGTGATCTTTGGGGAAACTACTCCACAGGGCAATTAAAAGACTTAATGCCTACTGTGCAAAACCATTCTGCTCTGGATAATAGCAAAGCTTCATTTTGGTAAAAATACAATTTATGATGTCAAGAGAGACCATAAAGCAACTATTTTGCCAAACTTCTTTAAATGATGAAACACCGAAAGTTAAAAATAGATGTAAATGATTTGATTCTGTGGGTGCACAGAATTCTTGGCATTGAAATTGGCCTAATCAGGAGGTAAATGTACTTCTGGGGATTAGGATTTTGTTGCAGGTAAAAACAAAGTGCAAAAAATGGGTCAAATGTTTAGGGCCAGAATGACAGAGAGAAATACTGAAGTCGCACATGTTTAACTTGGAATTTATGGGGACATGATTTGAAACAGTAATGGAAAACACAGATTAACATTCCTCCAATCTCAGGAAAGAAATGTAAACTAGCACGTGCTTCTGAGAAAAATATTAAAAGTTATTACGTAGAATGGTCAGCAACAGCCCGCAATGTGCATAAGCAGAACACAACACCTGCTGATCTTCCGAAGGAGCCAGCAGCCCTGCTTCTGACACAAACCCATCAACACCAGAGAAATTACAGGCATTAAAAGAGCTGGGACAGGAGCAGCTAAATACTCAATATAATGAAGAACTGAGCAGTCCTTGGAATTCTTCTATGTAGTCATTAAAAAGAAATCTGGAGAATGGAGAATGGCAATATATCTAAGAAGCATTAATAAGGTGATTCCAAAAACCGGTTCTTTACTGGAATGCCCTTGCCTTCTCTACTACCTAAAGATGGGTCTATTATAGTGATTGAATTAAAAGACTGGATAGAAAAAAAATTACCTTCACTGTGCCTGCCCATAATAACTTGAATACTGTTAAAAAGACATCAGTGGAAAATTCTTCCATGCAGGATGTGAAACAGCCCTACCTTGTGTCAATATTCTATACAACAGGAAGTAATTTGCAAAGTTTACTTAATTTTTAATTTGCCATTATATGGATGATATCTTACTAGCTGATTTGGAAGCAGATACCTTAGAGAAAATGTTTGAAGAAATCTTGCTTTCTTGTGGATCACAAATTGATCCTGAAAAAATACAAGGAGAACTTTCTATTAGTCACCTAGGATATATGATAGGTTTACAAAAAGTTCAACCACAGAAAGTACAAATCAGGAGAGATCAATTACAAGCACTTAATAATTTTTCAAAAATTGCTGTGAGATATTAACTGGCTACAGCAGCCCACAATTGGACTGATAACTCGGGAACTAAGGAGTTTGTTTCAAACCTTACAAGATAATAGGGTCTTAAATAGTCCAAGGAAGTGATCAGCTGAAGCTGAAAGAAAATTGGCTTTGGTAGAAAATAAATTACAGGATGCCCATGTGAGTCATTTGGATCCAGAGCTTGAGTATATTGTGGTTAACATTTCACTTTCTTCCACAGTAATTCTTATACAGAGATAAGATAATATCTCAGAATGGATATTTCTTTACCACCCAGATAAATGTAAAAATTAAAGACGTGTGTAAGAAAACTTTCTGAATTGATTCTGAAGGGGAAATTAAGGCTGTCACTTGGCAGGAATCGAGCCAATAGGAGCTGTAGTACCTACCTCGTACCTTTTACTAACACTGAAATTTCCTCATCGTGGACAAAAAACAAACATTGACAAAGAGCTTGCAGAAAATTTTGTGAGAACGTGGTAACAAATTTTCCAAAATAAGAGAATTCCATTTACAAAGAGAACTAATTAGATCCTTAATCACATTGTATGATTTCTGAATCCCCTGCAAGTAAGTCAGGAAAGTCAGGTTATGAGTCAGGAAATGTAAGTAAAGTGGCTCAAAGCCCTTAGGATTACTTCCAAAAATCAGGATTATAGGCTACCCTCAAAGTATTATGAGATTCTCCAGAAAGGATGAAAAATTAAAGCTGGCTTTGAAGTTTACACATGACTCTCTCCTCTAAAAAGAAGCATGACTGTTAAAGGGAAACCCAAAACCCCTGCCTTATGTCGGAATAGCCACCTAATATTGAACGAAAGAAAAACCAAAATTAAGAGACTGTTCGACTGCCAATAATACCATAATCCTTTGCATTTGTCTTGAATATTTAACACTGTTCTTAAGGTAGAAATATTCTGTAAATTTTGTCTAGAATTTCAGAAGCCTTGAGCTCTGCACCTTAAACTCTCTACATGTTCCTACTGCAGGAGCTCATTGCCACCACCTGGAATTGTAGCTTGCATTCCCAATACCTTTATGGAAAACCGGTGTGATGTGTAAACCCGGTGCCGAATCACCTGTCATCAATCACAGGGCAGATTTCTAAGTTTGGTTTTGTGTGCGTTCCATGATATCATCCTTTTTGGCACTGTGGTCCTGGCTACTGAAACTAAAACTTGGAGGTATAAATAGCTGTCAAGGAAAAGCCTTCCTCCTAGTGTCCGCTCCAGACACACCAAGAAGCCATGAAGGTCTTCACCGTTCTTGCTTTCCTGGGAGCTGCTGGTGAGTCTTTCAAAGAACATTTCACGAGTTTGTGCTTTGTGGGTGGGAACGTAAAGGACAATTAATACATAGACCAAGGGGAAGGAGCTGCAGGTAACCAAGCAACACCATTTACTACATTCATGTACTCTATGGGTTAGTCAGGAAAAGAAAGGACAGGACACATGACTCTTGTGTGTATTCCCCTCTCTATGAAGTGGTAGCAAATAACTGAAATTATTCTCTACCCTAAAAAGAGGGTGACAACATTAAATCCTGATGCTATGGAAGAACAATGTCTGATGATTTACAGAGTTAACATAGTTGGAAGAGATATGCTATGCTCATAGATAGAAACCATAGACTCTGTCTCAGTAAACCTTTACTAACGAAATTGGTCTTGTATTGTACTGTCATTCAATAGTGAACAGCAGAAAAAAATATTTTTCTAGGTTAATACAAGTAAATTTAACAATAAATTCTCGCAATTGAAATGAATTTTGATTGAGTAAATTCTCTTATATTTGGAAACTTGAACCATCAATTTTAAATATTGGAATGTAGGGCCCAGAGAGAGTCATTACAGTATTTATAATTATACAGAATTCTGGGGGGGGGGTAGATGTAGCAAATATAAATTACATACATATGTAGAACTTAGTAGGAAATGTAAAAATATCAGTTTGCTAAATATCAGATATCACTGTTTATTTAAACTGCTAAATACATTGGTATATATCCAGTAGAAAACTATATTAAAGAAAATTTTGGGAAGAAAAACATAGGATATTGATTAAATCATGTATACAATTTCTATCTAATAAATTCATTCATTCAATCATTTGTATGTTATAAATAAGACAAAAAATACAGTAAAACACATTACTAGGACTGCAAAATGGTTCCTTGTGTAAAGGTGCTTGCCACCACGCCTTAGGACTCACTATAGATTCTGGGACCCAAGTAGTGAAGAGATAGAGTAGTCACTTGGAAGGTGATCCACAGGAACCCTATGCTATAAACACACACACACACACAGAGAGAGAGAGAGAGAGAGAGAGAGAGAGAGAGAGAGAGAGAGAGAGAGAGAGTGCAAACACATGAACAAAATTTTGCAAGTTTAGATTCTGTTAGCAATGATATCAAAACAGGATATGCTAAAGTTAAAAATGGTACCTTTTAAAATACTACAAACACATTTTAGTCAACAGGAGGACACATGTCCTTTTCTGGTTGGTCTGTACAAACTTCACATGCAAGATGAGTTTTGAGACAAGTCTTCTTGTGCTAATGACAAATAAAAAAAAAATCTTCCCCAGTGGCTTTCCCTGCTAATGGTGATGATGATGATAAAATCATTGGAGGCTACAACTGTCCGAAGAATTCCATTCCTTACCAGGTGTCCTTGAATGATAACACTGGACATCAGTGTGGTGGCTCTCTCATCAGTGACCAGTGGGTATTGTCTGCAGCTCACTGCTACAAAGGAAAGTAAGGAAACAATACTCAAATCCCTGCAATCTATGGCCCATCAGTCCTCTCTCACTATCTCCAAGAGGATAGCCTTTTGTGAGTCTGTACTGACTGAAAACAAACTAAGGAACCCTTAATCCTGCACACTGGTGGGAGGGAATTATACTACCTGAACTACATAATCTTTATAGGGTTGGATGTTTTAAGAAGATCGTGTTTCTATTTTTATACTCTGGACTTTGAGCTTGGAAGAGAAACAGCTCAACGGGGATGCTAAGAAATCCTTAATATTTTAATGCAGGAGACTTCAGGTTCGCCTGGGAGAACACAATATTAAGGTACTTGAGGGTGGTGAGCAATTCATTGATGCAGGAAAGATAATTCGCCATCCCAAGTACAATGAAGACACTGCAGACAATGACATCATGCTTATTAAACTGAAATCACCTGCACCCTAAGCTATCAAGTGTCCACAATCTCTCTGCCAAGATCCTGCCCAGCTTCTGGTACTCAGTGCCTTGTATCTGGCTGGGGAAATACTGTGAACCTTGGAGGTAAGTGTCAATGAAACGTAAGTTCCATGTGTATAGACATGAAAGATGAAAGGTCGACATTGGTGGTCAACATGGCCAAATTCTCACTTCGAGCCATGCTTCCAGACGTTTTCCACTTGGCCAGTACCTATTTGGAGTCTAGAAGGTTGCTTTCCTGAGACCATTTGGAAAACACAGTAAGAGTGATACTTTAGCAAGATGCTGAGATATTTAACTGGTGTAATCTATGATGAGAAGGAAATAAAACCTCAAGTGACAAGAGAGGAGATGACCAAGGATGTATTGTCGCCTGAGGTTATCTACCTCTTAGAGGAAACACTGTCCCAGGATCAGAAATCCAAAGTCAATGATATCATTGTCATAGAAAGAACACCTTATTAGTTAAAACTAATGTAAAAAAAGTCTTCTACAAAAAACCTAACTTTTGAATTACAGATGTCTGGGAAAGAAGTAGAGACCTCATGGAAGATATTGAGTGTGCCTCCATTTTTGCTCTCAACAGGCAAATACCCAGCAATCCTTCAGTGCCTCGATGCTCCCGTCCTCTCTGACAGTTCTTGCAAAAGGTCCTACCCAGGCGTGATCACCAGCAACATGTTCTGCCTGGGCTTCCTGGAGGGTGGAAAGGACTCCTGTGATGTGAGTGTTCCTTCACTCCTTCCCAAATATTACAGTGTGTCTCTCTCCTCGTCAGTGTATTTCTCCTGGCTAAGAAGCGGGCACATGTGTCTGTAAGGTTTCATGTGAGACGAAACAAGTGAACAAACGAGCTTTTCCATTGCTATATTCTTGATTAAGCACGAGGGTAAAATAAATACAGAAGAGTGTATGTGAATAGCCTATAAAAGCAAGTTTCTGAGAAACTGGTTTATGGGTTGTGACCAAGTTGGATGAACAGCAAAAAGAACAGCAAGTAATACGTGAAGCCCTCAGGCTTTCCTGAAATTATGTGCCAATTAAAAAATCTCATGGTTATAGAGAAAGGGTGGAAAAACTGTAATTAGATATGCAGGGAATCTGCACCGATTCTCAGGGCACCAATACCCACTACACTTGCCCCATGATAAAGGGGAACCATCTTGGAGTCCACTCTCTGACACCAGCATAAGCATAATGTAATGTTCTTTTCTTTCGGACCAGGGTGACTCTGGTGGCCCTGTGGCCTGCAATGGAGAGCTCCAGGGCATTGTCTCCTGGGGTTATGGTTGTGCGCTGAGAGGCAAGCCTGGGGTCTACACCAAGGTCTGTAACTACCTGGGCTGGATTCGGGAGACCATGGCTGCCAACTGAGTTCTCTTCCCTCCCACGAGTCACCTGTTCCTAATCCATGTCTCTTCCTTCCTCCTCCTCAAATGAGTCTAGAATAAATGCATTTTCTCCTGCTCTATCTCTGTGAATGCCTTATTTGATGCTCCCTAAAAAACTTGATGCTAAATGAGAACAAAGAGAGCTGAGAAAATTGTTATAATTAAGCAGTCATCGAACAATAAGGATTTACTGGTGTCCTTCAAGGGTGTGTGGGGTAGAGTGGATGTAGAGGTAAATGTGCTTGCAATTACCAGTGTATTTTGTATTATAATTAATGTTTTATTAACAGGTAGGATACATGCTTTCTAAGATACTGTTATCGAATACAACTTGTTTCGTCCCAGTTTGTATATCCATAACCTAAGGGAGATGACATGAAACCACAGACATTACAAATTACTGTCTGTACAAATGAGCATTCCTTTTATGCCCTAACACAGTGCTGTGTCTTTCCTTGCTTTTTACTTTTTTCATAATATTTTAAATGCTGAGAATTTCTATGATGCCTGATGGAGAAATTTAAGATTTTTTTTCCAATTACACATATGTGTGTGCCTGTGTGGAGGTGTGCGCATGAACGCCAGGTGCCTGTAGAGGGAAGAGGTGTTAGATGTCTTTGTTCTACACGTACAGGGATTTTAGAGCCTCCTATGGGGTTCCTGGGAGGCAAGCGCTGGACTTCTGCAAGAATGTTGTATGCCCTGTATCTCTGAGCAGTCTCTAAAGACCTTGAAGAAATATTTCAAAGACATTTTTCCCTCTAAATTTTGGCCTCTGAGTCACCTCTTGTCACCAAAGCCTTCGTCCAAATACGGATTACACGTGTATTAAGAACCATGTTCAAAAACAACTACAAACGATAGATGTTTACAGAAAGGAGGGGAACTCCCCCACTGTCACGTTTCATTGGGCACAGAGCTGTCACCTGCATTTTTGTATCAGTAGTAGAAGAGACACAAGCATGCTTTCTTAACTGATTCCCACCAGTCACCATTTGTTTATGGATTGCCAAACTACATAATTGTCGCCGAAGACCCTGAAAATTCTTCCTGGGATTATTTGCGATGCTCAAGGGAAATGAAGGACAGAATGGGCTTGAGCCAAAGCACAGTGTGGTAAATGGAAGAGTATAGAAAAGAAAAGTCCAGGATGGCAGATAAAGTAGTCATCAATCTCATTACCAGGGAAGGGCATTTAAGGTAGCCTCTCCACTGTTGCTCAGATCGCACATCCTAGAGCTCTCATCCAGTAGCTGATGGAAACAGAAGCAGACACCCACAGCTAAACACTGAATGGAACTCCTGGAATCCAGTTGGAGAAAGGCAGAGTGATAAGAAGATGGGGCCAAGACCAGGCTACAGAAACCCACAGAGACAGCTGACCTGAACAAGTAGGCGCTAACGGCCCCTAGATTGATGGCTGGGAATCCAGCACAGGACTGACCCAGACCCCCTGAACATGGGGCTCAGTTAGAAGGCCTGGGCAGTCTAAGGGACCTCAGACAGTGGAACCAGGATGTATCCCTGGTGCACGAAAGAACTTTGAGAGCACATCCCCATGGAGGGACACTCCCTTAACCTAGAGACAGGAGGGAGGGCTTAGTCCCTACTCCAAATGACTTGACAGATTTTGATGATCCCCCACCCTACCTGTGGAGGGGGAGTAGATGGGATGGGAGGGTCGGGTCACAGGGCATGGGAGGGAGGGAGAGGGAACTGGGATTGATATGTAAAACATTAAAAAACACTATACACACACACACACACACACACACACACACACACACCTAAGGAAAGGAAGCATATTGTCTCTGCTAGCTCAGGCTACTATTAAAAAAATATTTCAAAGGTCCCAGCTTCAAAAGAAGTATATTTCTCATTAGTTTTCACTCTAACAGTTCCAAGTGACCAAAATCCCAAGATAAAAATCACCTCAGAGACACAAAGCACGTACAGGAATATGGTGCTCCTGGAAATTCGTGAAAGAATTACGTACTTCCAAAATGCAATGGTCCAAGAAAGGCATTCCCGTGCCGTAAGGAGGCATGGAATAGAAAGAATGAACCAATGCAGAAACACAACTCTGAAGAAGGATGCTTTGCTGAAGTGTCTGGAGCACAGGCTGGTACCATCTGAGTTCCAAAAGCCTTAGACAGCCCCCCTCTGGGGCCTTAGCACAGGCGTAACTCAAGGCTACTAGCATTGTTCAGCAGATGACCCATATTCTTGACACCTCTAAAAGTGTCCGTGTTCATTGCAACGTGGGCTTCAAGCACAGAATCGAGCAGAGCACACTCCCAAGCTGCCTCATGGGGTGGCTCACAACTGCCTGTTAACTCCATCTCGGGGGGGGGGGGGATCAGATGCCTTCTTCTGCCCTCTGAGAGTATGCACACGCCTGTGGTGCACACATACATACACGTAAAATAAGTGACTATAAAAGCAAGAGGAGATGAAATTAGTAAAGAGCCAGGTTGGGGGGGATTTGGGATGAACTGAAGGGGAGTATGGTCATGTTTCATTTTATGTGTATGAAATTCCAAGAACAAAGAAGAGTAACATTAAAGCTGTGTAATATGTGTAGTGCCATCTGTGGGGATGAAATGATTTGATGCACTGAATGTCTTCTGTGGTAGAGACTCCATAGACACTATCACTGATAAAGAATTCTGTGTCAATCTGACGAGAGCACAGTCTGACTCCACCAGCACTTGGGGTGCTATTAGTATAGCGACATATGACTTGGGTCCCTTGTCTGTAATGAATTCAACAGGCATCTCATATAGCTGTCTGGGAGAATAAACTTGTATGGGGAACTTAGAACACATTCATAGCCTTACCCAGGGAGAATGCATTTCAGGACCTCCAACTAAATGCATGATAAAGCAAGTAGTAGAAATCCCACATAGAATTTAATTTGCCTATGTATAAAATAGAAGTATAGCTTATAGTTATTCAAAGTAAAGAAAAAGTAACCTCACTAATTGTTAATAAAATAAGCACAATACTATAACTCATTTTTTTAAAATTTTTGATCATTTATTTTGGCTGTTCAACTCTTTATTAGACCAATCAGTTGCTTTAGGCAGGCAAAGTAACCCAGCTTCACAGAGTTAAACAATGCAACATAAAAGAAAGCAACACATCTGTGTGTCACTAAACAAATGTTCCACAGCATAAACAAATGTAACACATCTTCAATTAAGTTCCACAACAGGGAATTAATATGTCCTAGTTATATTTTTTGGCACAATGTCATGCTACAAAGTGTAAGTTGGCCTTGAACATGTAATGACTCAATTTCTTCATCTGCTGACTATCTCTCAGGTTCAAACACTACAATCATGTGCCACTATGTATGGCAAAGTTATTTCAAACTTAAGAATTGTTCATTTATAGAATTTTCCATCCATTAATTTTCCTTCTTATCTGCAAAGTTACTGGATCATTTCTTTCAAGGAAATTGAAGCTCCATGTTCCATTAATAATAACAAATACCATGATTGGTTAGAATTACTCTAAGACAAAGCAGCCAGAATACCAAGAGTTCTGTCTTTATGATAATCCCTTGGAAAATTGTTCAAATGTCAGCAAAACAACTATCAAGACATTTGGCTGAGTGTCTGGAAACTTTCAGCTCTTATCTATGACCTCATACCAATATATTTTCCTTTTAGGAGGACCAGTTCCCACCAGGTGGGTTTTCAGATTCCATTCCCATAACATCCTGGGAAAATGTTAATTAAGTCTTGAACGATACATCACCTGTCACAGAATAGGATTCTAGATTTGGATTTGTGACTTTCCAGTGAAGTCACTTTTTTGGCACCTGAGACCATGGGAGTCATTGGTGCCTGTGGAGATATAACTACCCTAGAGGAAAGACCCCCCCTCTCATTGCCTGGTCCTGAGCCAGTGACCAACCATGAAGATACTCTTCTTCGTCCTCCTGGGAACTGTGGGCGAGTCTTTCAAATTAATGAATCTGTAAGCATCAGAATTATAAGTTTCTATTTTCCTCCAGGAAAATCAACAATGCTCATTGCATATAAGGGCTACAAGCAAGAATCTTAAGAGGTAGAGACACGAGTGTATAGTAGCCATGCTTAACAGAGATTAAATCTCAGTCAATGGCGGAAATTCACACCATGCAGGGAGGAGGCCTCACAAAGAAAAAGAAGGTGTTTTGATCTTCCATGTAGATCCCAGGAATTTAGAAGAGAAGAGAAAGGATACTGCTTACACACACACACACACACACACGCACGCACGCACGCACGCACGCACACACACATACACACACACACACACACACACACACACACACACTCCACTGGCTTCTAAGTCTGCACTCCTTAGTGACGCTGTGATCACCGAAGCCCATGAGCCCTGAACCCCGCAGGGCAGTTATTACCCAAAAACATCACAACAGATGAAAAGATTTTTCTTCATTGATAAAAATCTTGGGCTGTGTTTCCAGACAACTTTTTGGTTTTCTAAGTGAGAAGTTTTATTTGGAAGAGGAGGGAGGAGGAATAAGAAAAGAGGTAAAGAGAGAGGACAAAAGAGAAGAGACAGGAAAAGTCCTGTCTACCTCAGGGGAACAGAGGAAAGAGAGCGAGAATAGGAAGGAGAGAGAAAAGAGAGAGGAAAAAAAGCTCCAGACAACTTTTTAAGTGAAATCTCCCTAATATAAACTCACAAGTCATGCAATTGTGATAAAAAAGAGAGATGAGTGTTTTCAATACTACCATTTCTAATGCTACTAAAATTTTATTATTAAAATTTAATATTTACTTTTCCTATGTAGAACCAGTATAAATGTGATGTGTTTGTATACTTGTCTAGAAATTTCTTTTCTAAAAGTATTTAAGTACTGGATAATAGAATGAATGTTTTTGAATAAAATATACTTGGAGCTGTAATAATTATCAATAGATAGTTGGACTATATGAAAATGGTGAATGATTTGTTTGATGTTGGAAGGATAGTCAGATAATTTAAAAAGATTTAAACAGATATTTATTTTCATTTGCATTTGTGGACAAGAGTGTTTTATTGAGAGAACAGTTTCACCTATGGGTTGTTCATGCTATGCTGAAACTCACTATAGACTTGTTAGTCTAGAACTCATAAATTTACAAATGATATGAGAATTTATTCTAGACTCCAAGAAAGAAGTTGATTAAATTAAAAAAAAAGCAAAGCCATCATTTACTTACAGGATAGAATGTTCTCTTACAGCATTTAAACATCCCCTTTTTATTAACTTATGGAGGTAGCTTTTCCATTTTAACATTTCATCAACTACCACAGACATACACCAGGAAAACTCCTGGAAGGTTTTCTTTTTTTTGTGTGTGTGTGTGTGTGTGTGTGTGTGTGTGTGTGTGTGTGTGTGTGTGTGTGTGCATGTGTGCTGATGTACTCATCTGTGGACATGAAGATCAGAAGTTAACTGTATATGTTTCTCTGTCATTCTCTACCTTACGTTTTTGAGACAAGGTCTCTTCACTGAACTTGAAATTTTCTATTTTCAGCCTTAGTGGTTAGTCAGTGGGTTCTGGTTATAGTCTCCATCTTCATTTGCTCTCGCCCCCACCCAGGAGTGGGGCTGTAGAGCATGTCACCATGCCTGACTTTTATGAGGATGCTAAAGAGCTGAACTCAGGTCCCCTTGCTTGGACAGAGAACTGTGCCTACTGAGCCATCTCTCCACCCTATACTGCAAAGCTTTCTCCATATTTGCATGGAAATTGATGAGGTTGTGGTTTTAAATGGTTAGATATTAAGTGGTGGTGATAGGACATTTATTTTCTAAGGAGCCTCTGATTTGTATAAAATTTGTGGGTATGTGTATGTACTACAATGTATGTTTGTTAATGGAATATATATATACACTATATACATTTATGTCCTAACAGAAAATATCATCAAACAAAACACATATTTCAAAAGTGCTTGTTTATTCATCATTATATATTCACCGTCTGTGTTCAAGGTGCAGAATAATGAATAATCAAAAAGATTACCAAAAGCTACTTTTTCTCACTGTTGAGACAAAATCATTCAGGAGCCACTTAAGAAAAAACTTGTTTTGGCTTATACTGCAAAGGGTGTAGTCAACATGGGCAGGGAAGTTCTACTGAGGATGGCTCACAGTGGGTGTGGGTGTGGGTAAGGCAAGTGGGGTCTAAGATCCTGACAGTCAGGAAGCAGGGAGGTAGCGCCAGAGTGTGCCTCAGGCTTCCACGCCACGTGCTCTGGTTCCGCCCCGGATCCCTACCCCACGCAACAGTGTCACTCATGATTAGACTGTGTCTTCCTTCTGCAGTTAAACCCCCACGGGAATAACCTGACAAAGACACACAGGTGTGTCTTCCAGGTGATTCCAAAACCTGTGAAGTCGTCAATAGAACTTAACCATCACGTTGACATGCCTTGACCATGCTGTACAGAAGACATTGACATGCCTTGACCATGCTGTACAGAAGACATTGACATGCCTTGACCATGCGGTACAGAAGACATTGACATGCCTTGACCATGCGGTACAGAAGACATTGACATGCCTTGACCATGCGGTACAGAAGAACATTGTCATCTCTTTTGTCCTTAGTTTGGAATAAAACCCCGTGGCGCATGAGTTAAAATGACCAAGCCCATTAACAGAGAGCTCCTCACTTTTTTCTCACAGCTTCTTCCCTTGCTGAGGAGAATGATGACAGGATTGTTGGGGGCTACACTTGTCAGAAGCATTCTGTCCCCCTACCAAGTATCACTGAATGCCAGGTCTCACATATGTGGAGCATCTCTCACCACTGACCAGTGGGTATTGTCTGCTATCACCAGTAAGTAGCCACTATTCACATTCTTACTCTCTAAAATCACCTGATCCTCCAGGCTTACCTATTTCAATTTGAGTAAAGGCAGAAATATGCTTAATAGATAAAACATTCTGGCCTTATGTGACTCGTTGGTCACCCATGCTTTTACTAGCTATGATATTAATTTATCATGGAAGATGTTAACATGGGTGGACACCCTTAAAATTCATTGCTGTCTTCCCTAAATTATGGTGCAAAAGGAAGAGGGTGGTTGGTGATGGACCCTTGGAAGAGCTTTACAAAGCTGAGCCCTAAGAAGTATAGCTCAGTCAGAATGAAACTGCACACCAGGTTAACCAAAACATCATACTTCTAGTGCCACAGCACGAATAAAAATAATTTGATCTGTTCCCTATATTTATTTCTATCCCTCTGACTTTTGCTTTGGGGATTCCAACAAGTAGAAAGTACCAGTCAATATTCAGCAATCTTTTGTTCTAAACAGAAGTATATCTGTTTCTAAGATATAGTTTGCTTTCCATTCCTATACCTCCCAATTATAAGATGATGGTGGGCTGTGAGGCTCTGCTACCAGAGACACTAAGGATTTCTGTAGCCTATGCCAGGATTGGTAGTGGGTGCGTATTTCAGTGATCTGTGCTTAAGTGGGGAGTTATGTTTACACTCGTGATTGATGGGGACTGGAGAAAGGAAAGGTTATTCACGTTGGACACTTAAACTTTTTTAATTGTTTTCTTTTATTTTTGTTATTATATAATTGCATACTTCCCCTCTCTTCACTTCACATCCCATATTACCCCTCCTTAGTTTCAAATTCATGGCCTCTTTTTCCATTAATTGTTGTTATGGCGCACACACATGAGTGTGTGTGTGTGTGTGTGTGTGTGTGTGTGTGTGTGTGTGTGTGTGTGCATGTGTGCTGATGTACTCATCTGTGGACATGAAGATCAGAAGTTAACTGTATATGTTTCTCTGTCATTCTCTACCTTACGTTTTTGAGACAAGGTCTCTTCACTGAACTTGAAATTTTCTATTTTCAGCCTTAGTGGTTAGTCAGTGGGTTCTGGTTATAGTCTCCATCTTCATTTGCTCTCGCCCCCACCCAGGAGTGGGGCTGTAGAGCATGTCACCATGCCTGACTTTTATGAGGATGCTAAAGAGCTGAACTCAGGTCCCCTTGCTTGGACAGAGAACTGTGCCTACTGAGCCATCTCTCCACCCTATACTGCAAAGCTTTCTCCATATTTGCATGGAAATTGATGAGGTTGTGGTTTTAAATGGTTAGATATTAAGTGGTGGTGATAGGACATTTATTTTCTAAGGAGCCTCTGATTTGTATAAAATTTGTGGGTATGTGTATGTACTACAATGTATGTTTGTTAATGGAATATATATATACACTATATACATTTATGTCCTAACAGAAAATATCATCAAACAAAACACATATTTCAAAAGTGCTTGTTTATTCATCATTATATATTCACCGTCTGTGTTCAAGGTGCAGAATAATGAATAATCAAAAAGATTACCAAAAGCTACTTTTTCTCACTGTTGAGACAAAATCATTCAGGAGCCACTTAAGAAAAAACTTGTTTTGGCTTATACTGCAAAGGGTGTAGTCAACATGGGCAGGGAAGTTCTACTGAGGATGGCTCACAGTGGGTGTGGGTGTGGGTAAGGCAAGTGGGGTCTAAGATCCTGACAGTCAGGAAGCAGGGAGGTAGCGCCAGAGTGTGCCTCAGGCTTCCACGCCACGTGCTCTGGTTCCGCCCCGGATCCCTACCCCACGCAACAGTGTCACTCATGATTAGACTGTGTCTTCCTTCTGCAGTTAAACCCCCACGGGAATAACCTGACAAAGACACACAGGTGTGTCTTCCAGGTGATTCCAAAACCTGTGAAGTCGTCAATAGAACTTAACCATCACGTTGACATGCCTTGACCATGCTGTACAGAAGACATTGACATGCCTTGACCATGCTGTACAGAAGACATTGACATGCCTTGACCATGCGGTACAGAAGACATTGACATGCCTTGACCATGCGGTACAGAAGACATTGACATGCCTTGACCATGCGGTACAGAAGAACATTGTCATCTCTTTTGTCCTTAGTTTGGAATAAAACCCCGTGGCGCATGAGTTAAAATGACCAAGCCCATTAACAGAGAGCTCCTCACTTTTTTCTCACAGCTTCTTCCCTTGCTGAGGAGAATGATGACAGGATTGTTGGGGGCTACACTTGTCAGAAGCATTCTGTCCCCCTACCAAGTATCACTGAATGCCAGGTCTCACATATGTGGAGCATCTCTCACCACTGACCAGTGGGTATTGTCTGCTATCACCAGTAAGTAGCCACTATTCACATTCTTACTCTCTAAAATCACCTGATCCTCCAGGCTTACCTATTTCAATTTGAGTAAAGGCAGAAATATGCTTAATAGATAAAACATTCTGGCCTTATGTGACTCGTTGGTCACCCATGCTTTTACTAGCTATGATATTAATTTATCATGGAAGATGTTAACATGGGTGGACACCCTTAAAATTCATTGCTGTCTTCCTAAATTATGGTGCAAAAGGAAGAGGGTGGTTGGTGATGGACCCTTGGAAGAGCTTTACAAAGCTGAGCCCTAAGAAGTATAGCTCAGTCAGAATGAAACTGCACACCAGGTTAACCAAAACATCATACTTCTAGTGCCACAGCACGAATAAAAATAATTTGATCTGTTCCCTATATTTATTTCTATCCCTCTGACTTTTGCTTTGGGGATTCCAACAAGTAGAAAGTACCAGTCAATATTCAGCAATCTTTTGTTCTAAACAGAAGTATATCTGTTTCTAAGATATAGTTTGCTTTCCATTCCTATACCTCCCAATTATAAGATGATGGTGGGCTGTGAGGCTCTGCTACCAGAGACACTAAGGATTTCTGTAGCCTATGCCAGGATTGGTAGTGGGTGCGTATTTCAGTGATCTGTGCTTAAGTGGGGAGTTATGTTTACACTCGTGATTGATGGGGACTGGAGAAAGGAAAGGTTATTCACGTTGGACACTTAAACTTTTTTAATTGTTTTCTTTTATTTTTGTTATTATATAATTGCATACTTCCCCTCTCTTCACTTCACATCCCATATTACCCCTCCTTAGTTTCAAATTCATGGCCTCTTTTTCCATTAATTGTTGTTATGGCGCACACACATGAGTGTGTGTGTGTGTGTGTGTGTGTGTGTGTGTGTGTGTGTACAACCTGCTTGGTCTCTACAATGTTACTTGTATGTTTGCCACATGTACATGTATAATGTTTTCAGGGTGATCATTGTATATTGATTTAACCCATTGATGGGCTTGTCCCTTAGCTGCAGTTGCCTGTACTTCTTTGTGTAGGGTTGAGGCCTAGGGGTCTTTCCCTAGTCAACCTTAACGTGTCTATTGGTGTTATTCTTGTGCAGAGCTAAACCCCCAAAGTCTCACCAGTATGGCTGCCTAAACATGAGCTGGAAACAGGACCCTAAAACTTTTAATCCTTAAACCCAGACATATACAGGTGCGTCTTGGAGAACATAACATTGATGAAATTGAAGGTGGTGAGCAGTTCATTGATGCAGCTAAGATTATTCCCACCCTGATTATACTACATGGAATATTGACAACGACGTCACGCTGATTAAGCTGAAATCACCAGCTACCATCAACTCTCAAGTGTCCACAGTCCCTCTACCAATGTCCTGTCCGTCAGCTGGTTCTGGATGTCTCGTGTCTGGCTGGGGCTTTCTGAAATCTGGAGATAAGTGTCTCTGTGAGATATAAAAGTGGTAAAAGTGGTGAGTGTGTGAGTACTGGAAGCGAATGGCACCCTAATGGCGGTAAGTACACATTCTCATTCAAAGCCTGGTTCTCAGAGGGCAGCTTTGAACCTGCCACTTGAGAGATGCTAGCTGAAGTTAGGACATTTCCCCCAATGATCCTATCAAGGCAGAAAAATATTAATTTAGGAAAGCATCAAGGAGTGTGTGTCTTGATAAGATGGTCTGAAAACTATGAGTAGAATAAATGTCCAGAGCAGAGGGTATTGGACTCAGCACTGGCAGAAGCCCCTGGATTTGAGAGAAAGGGAGGCTGGTATTAATGCCAGAGAAAGAGTAAATAGTGAGTAAAATTATTGAAATCTTCTAAATTATAGATTGCTTTTAAATGTTTACTTTTTATGTTTTATGTGTGCATGCTCTCTCTCTCTCTCTGTGTGTGTGTGTGTGTGTGTGTGTGTGTGCGCGTGTGTGCACATTCATGCCTGGTGTCCTCAGAACAAGATGAAGCTTTGAAAATGGAAGAGAAATGCTCTTATGAAAAGTACTAGACAGAATAGGAAATAAATATTAAGTCAGTGTGATTAACTGGAGTTTTACCCTTAGCCTCTCGGATTGCCTCACTCCTTCAGTGTCTGAATGCTCCGTCCTGTCGGACTGCATTTGCCACAAGGCCTATTCACATCGAATCACTGAAAACGTGTTCTGTCTCGGCTTCCTGGAAGGTGGAAAGGACTCTTGCCAGGTGAATTTCCTCTTAACTATCTCTGTCGCCATGGCCCGCCTCCCTTACTCACCATATTTCTCCTTTGAGACGGGAAAGGGCAAATCTGTACCCGGGTCTCAATCTGGGAGGTGAAGGAGGGCTTTGAGAAAACATTTGCTCGAGTTCTCTTTGTGGTGTGGTGATGACTATTATGGGTAAGGGGCCAAAGAGCTGATGCTGTGGAAAGCGTAAACCCAAGCAGCCTTGTATTGTGGGGTTGAGTCCATATGAAAGAGACAGAGCTTGTGAGTCACATGAGATCTCTGCAGCCTTTATTCTTTTCTGCCCTTTCCAATACAATGACTGCAGGGGACACAAAAACAGGCAAAGCAATACAACTAGAAACACTGAATAGATTGAAAACTGGAGTGTTAAGGATAGTCAGTGCTTTGTGGAGGGTCAGGGGACAATAGTACCCTGGGAACATGAAAGAACATCTCGAATCGGATTATTCCTCAAGGTATATACCCAAGTCTAAATATTTCATCTTTGTTGCTCAGTATGATTCTGGCGGCCCTGTGATCTGTGATGGACCACTCCAGGGTGTTGTTTCCTGGAGCGACGGCTGTGCTTCGAAAGGGAAACCTGGTGTCTATGCCGAGGTCTGCAACTACTTGAATTGGATTCACCAGACCATTGCTGAAAACTAAGTGCCTTTATCTCTTCAGGAATCACCCCCTGGTGACCTTCCTTCTCTCTCTCCAAACTATGTGGAAAAGAAAACACTTTCCTCTGCTCTGGGTCTTTTCAATCTTGATGCTAGAGTGAGAAATTGGGCGAGGTTGAGCAATAAAAGCAAGTTTGGGTGTTATTCAGTCATTCAATGCAGCCTTCTCAGACAATTTCATCGCCACCTGTTGTGTTCCAGACTCTGTGAGACAGTGAGCCCGAAACAGGGTTCCCTTCAATAAAATTACTCTTATTATATCAGACTAGTCAAGGGACAAGATTCTGTTACAGCACACATTGGGTCACAGTATAAATATAAACATTTATATGTGCTCATGACTTTCCAAAAAAGTAGAATTAAAATCTATTGCTAAATAGATTTTCCTGTTCCTACCTGCAGTGTGATATAATATTCACTTTGTCTTTCATCTTCAAACCAGCCAGTGTTTTGTGGAGATACCAGAAGCTAAAACTCAGGATTTGGAAATGTTTAGACAAGATTCTTGCATTTTCCGATTTCCCCTTCTCTTGGGTGTCAGTCCTCTGGGGTCCTCCTGTATACCAGTGCCCTCTGGAGAATTGTTGGTGACAGTTTTCCAGCTTTGCCTGTGGGTGATTTATCTAAGACATCACTGCACCACAGTGCTGTGGTTTGGTTTTTCTGGTCATTGGCTACTTAGATAGAGCTGTGCTTATTGTTGGTCCCACATCACTGGGATGTTATGAAGGACTGGGAGTCACTACTGTCTGCAATGTTTGAGCAGGCAAGAGATGCTAAAGGAGCTGTGTTCAGACGATGGGGAGTTCACTCAGGCCAAGGCTAATACAAACAGATACTTTCATGAGAGTTGCAAACCTACACTACATGAAAAATAAAACCGAAACTTTAGAGATCAACAAAAGGGTTCAGTTTTCACAGATTTAAATCAATGAACATTTATATCAAGCTTTTTCACAAAAACACCCAGATAATCAAAGAAAACCCAGCTTGTAAAACTGTTTAGTTCTATCAGAAAGCTACAAAGAAAATGGGTGTAGATACAAAGAAAATATGCAGTATGTAAGCAGGCTGAATGCACAGGCATAAATGTGTCAGATTCTAATGGATAACAAGCAATATATGCATGTATATTAATAATGAACTTATAAATATAGATCTGTGTATTTTCAAATTTCTGGGTCCCTCCAGAGATCCTAAGGTTACTTCTAGACCAAACATTATAGTTTCACACTTATCAAGTATATTAATGGCTTGAAATACAAATACGATCGCTTTAAAATAGAACAACGGCCATAAAACGTACTCATTTCTCTTCATACGACAGACACACAAGAGACCGCAGCATTGTGACTGTAACATTTATAACTTGAGTAGATGAGTTCCCCAGGTAAACCTTCACCTCATTTCCATACAGGAGATCAAAATTTAGTTTTGGAACCAGCATCATTGTACTTTCAAGAAATCATGGCCCAGAGAAGGATTAGACTGGGAAGTACCAGTTCAAAGCCAGTCCAGGTCATACTTAAGACTCTATTTCCAAAACAAACAAACAAACAGTTTTAAAAGTCCTTTTGTTATCTGTTCAGTTCCTACAAAAGCTTATCATTTTCACTAACCAATCACACAGAATCTTGAAGTTTTAATATTCTCAAAAGCATATTCATCGAGCTAGACATATTGCTCAGTGGTGAAGGGCATTTACTGCTCTGTGGGTTCCCAGAACCACAATTCCCGTTCCAGGGTATGTAAACACTCTGCTGACCTCTATGGGCACCCATACATGACTTCACATAGAGAAAGACATACATACACCTACTGAATCCATATATGTTCCCAAATGATAATTCTAATAATTAATTGCTACCAATAATAAATATACACATTCTTTAAGTGTTTCAATCTTTCATAGTTCATTTAAACTCTTATTGCATATTATATTTTTGCTTTTCTATTATGGTATCTCGGTGAATATAACTTTCTGAGAAGAGTCAAATCATCTGATTACTTAACATAATCCCATATCTTCAAGTTACTAAATATCTTTAAGTTGTTGAGGATTTTATTTGTGAATAGGCATTCTGTGTATATTCTGTGTATATTCATTAAATTTATCTCTTTGAAGCAATTCTGAACCCTAAATGAAACCTCTTAAGGCGTTAAATAAATCTAGGTGGTCATTGTCCAGGTATTTTGTTTGTTTTTCTGATTCTACTGTTTATTAAATAAATCTTTAAAATAAAAACCTATATGCACAATCATCAGTGATTGTTTTATTTCCATTTTGCAATCCTTACCTAATGTTCTGAGCCCATTGGCTTATGTTATATAAATTGTTTCAAATCTCTGAGGTAAACGCAAATAACATTTCCAAGTTAATTCCAGTTTCCTGCTGTTAAGCCTATGGACAAGAGATGATCTCTGGAATTCCAGACGCATCTCTTGTCTGTTACACTCATCATCAGAGGTGACCACACACTTCAGTTCCCTTTTTCTCCCGAGTCATCATTTCAACACAATCCTTACTGCTGCCAGATAAATGGATAAATGCCTGCCATCGCCTATATTTGCAGTCGTAGCCTGCAAATAGATTTAAAGTAGAAGTCACGCAGCAGCCGGGAAGAAATCCATGAAAGAAAGTAATTTCATGGCTACCTGTGTGGTAGCCTCTGCTGCCAAATTGATCGCTTCCCATGGGCGGGGCATCATAAAGCCGTCTGTGGTGAGAAGAGGAATCTCTCCTGCCTGTATTTGGTGGAATCTTGGTTTCTGGCTCAACCAAAAGAACACTCATTATTGTCGATTCCAGGCATTTGGTTGGCAACGTCGGCTGGAACCAACATCCGCTAGAATTCTCCTGTTACCTAGAGACTCTTCACAGAGACTCGGGGCACTGAGTAGGGAATCCGGGTCTTCAATGTCATCATAACCCAACCTTTCAACCTGTCTGGATTGCTGGGTTCACGTGGTGAGTGCACCGCACTGATGTCTACTCATCTAAAGAACCCCTACAGTGTGGAGGGTGGCGATTTGGGAAGATGGCTCCAGCTGGCAGTGGGTTCCTGAGCAGCTTCATGGAGCACAGGGAAGAAGCCATTTGGAGGTTCCAAACACACACTGCCATTGTTACAGCCACAAACTGTTGACATGGTCCTTCCAGGTCGTTCTTTCATCCGCGCAGCTGACCGGGGTGGGGACATAGGCTCTCCCGGACCAGTCCGTCCCCTCAGCCACAAAGTCCCCTAGGGAGATGGTCTTCCCTTCTTATCCGTCCCTTTTGCTGAAGCCATCATGCTGTGCAGGTATTTTTAAGGTCATCTCTTTAAATAAGAGCTCTACCACATTAAGTATATTGATCTAGTATAGCTACATTTTTTTTAATTAAGCCAATAGTATTAGAGAATGTACTCATTTAAGTTATTCTAAGTTATACAAACTTTGGAGAGCACTTTTTACATTTCCAATTACAGGTTTGTTTGTTTTGTTATTGTTGTTATTTTGTTTTGCTTTTAATCTTTAAGTCACTTAAGGCTATTTAAAACCTGTATGAATAACATTACTGATTTCGTGTTTTACCAAGATTCCTGATATTTTTCCAGGCTTGTGACTACTTAGAAAAGAAATTCTTACTTTGGAAGATTTTCAATTTTTTTTACACATATAAGTATTTTCCTGCATGTATGCCTGTGCACGATCTGTGTGTTTGATGCCCTCACAAGTTTGATAAGGCCTTGGTATTATCTGGCAATCAAACCTGGCTCCTCTTGCAAGAGTAGCAAGTGTCAAGCCACCCTTTCAGTCCCAGGAAATTAGTCTCAACATTGTGTTCATCAAAACATTAAAACATGTGAAGTCTTTTAAACAATAAATTTGTAAACAACCATGATTTTGCAGGATTCTTCCACATATCTACAACCAGATATATGCAGGTCTGATGTCTTAATTTTATTAAGTTTTAAATTTTTATTTATTAAAATATTACGCAAAGATTTGGGGAGTTCCAGGTACATGGGTTTCACTCATTCAAGTAGCAATGCTTGTTCTGCTCTGTGCAATGTAGACTCCATGTGGACCTTCAAAGTACAAAACGGCCACATGAAATATCTCTGACATTCTGACTTTGGAAATCTTATGTTTAAAATATTTAAACCTGATCTACATCTGTGTGCCTTGACTAAGCAACCCTTTCGTGGCTATCCATAAGAGTAGGAAATACGGTTGCACATCAGTGAGTCCTCTCTCTGCATTCACCAACACTGTTGCCTACACTCACGTGAAGTCTGTCTTAGTTACTTTCCTGATATCGTGATCGAAACACCCCAACAAGAACAGCTCAAGGGAGAATGGGTTACTCAGGCTCACAGTTCTAGCATGGACACAGTCCATCCTGGAAGGGAGATCAGCAGTCTGGAGGCAGAGAGAGGACAGGACCAGGCACTAAAACCTAGAAGGCCAACAACCCAGTGTAGGCTCCCATTCCTAAAGGTTGAACAACTTCACAAATGTCACCACCTCCTGGGTATCAAAGCGTTCAATCACTGCCTGTGGGGAATATTTCACATTCAAACAGCAACAAGGCTTCAGGCCTTGGTTTTTGTCAATGTGGGTGACCTCCTATTTTATACAGCCAGTGATTCTAAATTTCACTACAGATGTAGAAAAGTGTGTATGTGTGTACACATATATATATATATATGTGTGTGTGTGTGTGTATGTATGTATGTATGTATGTATGTATGTATATATATATTATCTCTATATAGCTGCCATGCTAATAATCTCTTATTGTTTATTAAATAAAAATATATGTGCTCTGTATATGGGCCTTCAAAAGTGAAATGCTTTGAAGAATACTTTAAGAGATTTTTGTACTCCAGACCGAACTTGGGAGTGGAGTGAGCCCTGTTCAGGTTCCCATTCTTGTGCCCTGAACTGCTTCAAAATAACTAGAAATGGCCAGGGATTGTATACTATGTGCAGTACTATTCAAATAATTAAAAGGGTTGGTCACTGAGAGAGGACAACTGTAAACAAATATAACTCGTTATACTTTATACATTTTTAATCTCTTAAAATGCAAACATGAAATCAGGGTTTATGTTTTATTGACAAATTACATCACCTTTTAAGCCCAAGCAAAAATGTAAATGCATTTATGAAGGGATAAAAAGAACAACTTGATCTTCAAAGTCTGTCACATCATTTGGAGCAGGGCCTAGGCCCTCTCCCGTGTGTCTAGGCTGAGAGAGTGTCCGTATACCACAGGTTTTATCAGTGATTTCTTCAGAGAAAGCTGTTCAAAGGGGAGATGTTATCATAAGGTGATGTCACACCGCCCATGGTGGCACACAGATGTAATCCGGACACTCAGAAACCAAAAACAGGACAATGGCACAAACTGGCTTTGAACTTGCTGTCTAGGCCAGTGTGATCTCTAATGCAGCCCCCCTAACAATGAAAAGAAAGCATGAATGTAAAGAATCAGAACTATCCTAAGTCTTTCAAATGAATGAATCAGCATTTAATTGTATACTTTGTGCCTAGAAAATCACCAACTGTGAAACAACCGTTAGCTCCATACCAAGTGTACAGGGTTTAACATAGTCCTTTGGGCAAAGGTTCACAACAAGAACCTTATATTGTTATCTGGGAATCCAGAAACATTCGGCTTTGTACTGTGAGCTAAATGCAATAATTCCCACCAGATTTGCAATTTCCATTCACATATCCTTCTAGGAAATCAGGAAATGCTTACAAGAAGTCCTGCATTATCTTTCATCGTTCACAGACTGTTTTATCTTTTTGTTTTTTTCCTTTTTCTTCACTTTACAGGGAAATCCCTTTTCTGGCACCTATGGCCCTGAGTGTCAATGACAAATCTGGAGGTATAAATAGCTGTGGGAAAAAAACCTTTATCCTGTTGCCCAGTGCAGAACGAGTGAGCAACCATGAAGACCTTACTCTTCCTCATTCTCATCGGAGCTACCGGTGAGTCCTTCAAAAGAAGGCACCAGAAGAGACACACGTTACGTTGCACATAGATGTGTGCTTTGTGTTTAGGAAATCAACAACGCTTGAAAGTAAAGTGGTTGAAAGGCAGGGAAATTAGTACGTAGCATCTGTGTTTACAAAAGACTAAACTTTTAAGAGAGGGATGTCATGGGGACTGTCCCATGTATGAGGCGTAGAGATGCATAATGAATTCTGGACTTCTGGGCATGCTCTCTAAATTATAGAAGAAAAAGAACAAGATGTCCGTGTAAAAGAAGTGTGGGTCCTCATCTGTAATAACAGAGTTACTGATAAGACTGATCTGTGTTCACCTATGAGTCTGTGAGCATGCAAGCCTGAGTTTCCTATAGACTGAAGGGCTGATCATTTACCACGCACAAGGGATATGACATGCCAAAAGTAGCTATCATGTCATAGCTAAAACCTTAACCTCTGTTTTGAAAAACATGAATCTTCATTGGTATAAAGCCTCAGGCCATTTGGTTGTGAGAAAAAAAAGAAAGAGGGAATAATCTATTTCAGTGTTAGTACTACCAAATTTTTGTCACTAAACATTAACTTTTCCTACATTGAACTTGTACAGTTTACTACAACTATCTATATGCTTAAAGACTCCCTTTCCAAAATTAAAACTTTAAATATTAGAGAGCAAAGCCCATTATTTCATAATCAAAGGCATTCATAGCTATGAGAGACCTTAACAAATGCACAGGTCATAATTTTCAATGTTACATGCAGTGATAAGCAGTAGAGAAATAAGCAGGACAACAGGAAAGATTTGGGGGCAGGCACTGTGATGTTCTGTAAAATGTTCAAAAAACACTGTAGGCTAAATCCAAAGAAAAAGTTGACAAAACAAAATTTCAAAGCAGTTACTTCCTTCAGAGCGAGAACATCCTCAAATGGTTACTGTAGACTCCATCTCTATTACCTGATAGAAACAGCAAGTCCACACCAACACTTTTCCAGTCATCATAAACATACACAGCCAGCAAGTCACTTACTTGCGTTGGTGCTGAGGCTGATTATACATTTGAGATGATATTTGTACCCTAACTAGTGGTTTTAGGACATTCATCTTCTGAGCCTCTGCTGTGTGTGAACGCCCTTACGTGTGTGTGTGTGTGTGTGTGTGTGTGTGTGTGTGTGAAAATGTGTATGTAAGAATGAAAGATTCATTGAACCTAAAGCAGTAGCTAATGGTGAATGTTTCCTGTGTAAGAAGATTCATAGGAAAGGCATAATACAACAAGTTATAAAAATATCTATATTGAAATAAATAAAATACAAAAAAAGAAAGCAAACAACTACCACCTAATGCCCAACATTTTCTGATTTGATGGCGACACAGGGCATGGTCACCTCGTGTGCGGTTAGTCTTTATATATTTCATGCATGGAATTTCATGACATATCTATGTAACAGAGTTTCTGTCTCTTTTCCCCAATAGCTGCCATCCCCACTAATGAGACGGATTACCCCATTAATGAGAATGATGAACTCACTAATACAGTTGATGACCTCACTAATGAGATTGATGGCATGACTATTAGAAGCTACACATGTAAGAACAACTCAGTCCCCTACCAAGTGTCCCTGAATGCTGGCTACAAGCTGTGTGGGGGGTCTCTTGTCAGTGACCAATGGGTACTGACTGCTGCTCACTGCTATAAGCCGTAAGTATCCAACATTCACACTCCTAAATCTAAGGCCATTTTCTCCCTTAGCCTGCAGAAGAATAAACAAGAAAAAGGCAGTTACCCTTAATGGCTAAAATAAATTTTGTATTTTTCATTTACTTTGGGGGAGTCACATGTGGCTGTCAGTGGACAAGTTCCAGAGTTGTTGGGTTTTATTTTTCTTCCACCCTGTGGGTCCCAGAAATCAAACGTAGGTCATAGGCTTGAGAGCATGCCCCTTTACCTACTCAGCAATTTTGCCAACCCACTTAAAAAAAGAAGAAAGAAAGAAAGGAAAAGAAAAGAAAAATCAGAAGCCAGATGTCTAAGTGGTCATAGGAATTTTATTAGTGATAACGAATGTTGCCCTTGGCCTTACAGATATTTTTCTAAATAATGAAGTAGTTTAAAAACCCAAAACCATATATGAGTGAGTACATACAATGTTCCTCTTTTCGTGGCTGGGTTACCTCATTCAGGATGGTTTCTTCAAGTTCCATCCACTTGCCTGCGAATTCATATATGGATTTTAGACCTAGAGGAAAGGATCGCCAGCCTATAATTCACACCGCCAGAGGAACTAGGATACAAGGAGGTTCCTAAGAGACTCACATAAGGTCCCTCACATAAGGGGGGAGGAACAAGCCCTCCAGAGCACATGGGGAGGGGGCAGTGAGTGGAGAGAACCTGGAAAAGAGAAGGGGAGGAGAGGAAAGCACGTGGGACCAGGAAGATTGACTCAGGGGAGGAAGGAATAGAAGACAGAAAAGAAAGAGAGAGGGAGAGAGAGAATACACAAAAGAGGGAGCCATTATAGGATTGAAGAGAAAACTAAACCTAAAGAAATGTCTAGAGACTTACAAGACTGATCCCAACTAACAATTTGAGCAACCGTGGAAAGGCTACCATAAATGCCCTTCCCTGATAATGAGATCAACAACTAACTTATCTACCATCATGGAGCCCTCATCTACTGTTGGGAACAGAAGCAGACACCCATAACTAAACACTGAGCCTACCTCCTGGAATCCAGATGCAGAGAGGGAGGACAAGACCACGCTGCAGAAACACACAGAGATAGCTGACTTTAACAAGGAGGAGCTAACGGCCCCCAGAGTGACAGCTGGGAATCCAACATGGGACGGACTCAGCCCCCCTGAACATGGGTCTCAGCTAGAAGGACTGAGCAGTCTAAGGGCCCTCATACAGTGGAACCAGGATGGATCCCTGGTGCACAAAAGGACCTTGCAGGCACATCCCCCATGGAGGGACACTCCCTTAGCCTAGAGACAGGAGAGAAGTCCTAGTCCCTACTTTAAATGACCTGACATATTTAGATGCCCTCCTGGATGGCATTGCTACATGTGGAGTGAGGGTGAAGGGAGGGGAGGGGAGGGTGGTCAGGGTGCATGTGAGGGGGGCAGAGAAGGAAAGAGAGTGGGAGGGAGGAAGGGAGGGAGAGGGAACTGGGATCAATATGTAAAATAAAAATAAAAATTAAAAAAATTATAAAAAAAACCCGAAACCATACACATAATCTCAGCAATTGTTTCTCAGCTGTGATCATAAAGATGTCATATGAAGTAATGCAATTTACCATATTTATATTACAACATGAAAAAGGAGAATTTGTTCTGTGCTCTAAATATTTTCTGTCTCCCTTCCTCGCTTCCCTAAACTTTGAGACCTCAAACAGAAAAGATATATTAATATTCCATCTTCCCCATTGAGTTCATTCACTCTTCCCCAACCCCATTTTCACCTCCGATGACTTTGTAGGAGGTACTTTCCCTATCTCCTGCCTTGGATCCCCGTGAGGTGGTGGGCTCTGGGTGTGCACTGGCCGTGAGGTGGTGGGCTCTGGGTGTGCACTGGCCGTGAGGTGGTGGGCTCTGGGTGTGCACTGGCCGTGAGGTGGTGGGCTCTGGGTGTGTACTGGCCGTGAGGTGGTGGGCTCTGGGTGTGCACTGGCCGTGAGGTGGTGGGCTCTGGGTGTGCACTGGCCGTGAGGTGGTGGGCTCTGGGTGTGCACTGGCCGTGAGGTGGTGGGCTCTGGGTGTGCACTGGCCGTGAGGTGGTGGGCTCTGGGTGTGCACTGGCCGTGAGGTGGTGGGCTCTGGGTGTGCACTGGCAGTGACGCATAAGGAACTCTCTAACTGTGGCTAGGACAGAAGTAACCGGGACTACCTAAAGCAAGAAGATAGGGTTTGTGTTTATGTTCTTGACCAAAGATTGGAGGAGGGGGAAGAGGTCCAAGAAGGACACTTAGAAAACTGTTGACCCTTGCAAATATAGCCAAATACAGGTTCGTCTGGGAGAATTCGACAGTCACGAAGCTGAGGGTAGTGAACAAATCATTAATGCGGCCAAGATCATCCCCCACCCCAAGTACAACAATGATACCACCGATAACGACATCATGCTGATTAAACTGAACTCGCCAGCCGCCATCAACTCTCAAGTGTCCACTGTCTCTCTGCCAAGCTCCTGCCCATCTGTTGGTACTGAGTGCCTTGTGTCAGGCTGGGGAGACACAGTGAGCATTGGAAGTAAGTGTCACCTAGGCCTTAAGTTGCGAATGTGAGGAAGCCTAGAAATGGAAGGCAGGTCAGTGTCACCTGGTCCAAATTCTCACTTTAAGACTCGGAATATGCTTTTCGGGGTTTAAAAGATTGTTTTGCTGACAGAGATCATGTAGAAGATGAAGTAAAATGTAACTATTAGAAAGACGTCGGTGAATTTTAGCATGATTGGTGATAACCACAGCGTTAGATACTGTGGGGGGAACATGGAACATTAGGAGATTCAGTTCAGCCTGGAGAACGAAACTTAGAAAAAGGAAGTCTCTGAACTTCAGATCTGACACCCTAGAATGCATGTCAAAGAAAGAACGTGTTGGTTAGAACTATTTGGAAAATCTTCTAGGAAGGACTAAAACAAATAAATAAGCCTCCCAAACTACGGCCTAGCCTAATTGAAAGACACAGGAAGTATTACGAGGGTGAAGAGAGGGTGGGGAGAAGTAACCCGGGACACTGTGGATGCTTTTGCATTCCTGCTCTTCACTCCACAGACATCATCTCTTCAGATCTCCGTTGTCTGAATATCCCCATCCTGTCGGACCCCGTTTGCCACACTGCCTACCCACATCGTATCACAAACAACATGTTCTGTGTTGGCTTCCTAGAAGAGGAAAAAGATACCTGTCAGGTGTGTTCCTTTCCCTCCCCTGTCCAGCCAGTCAGTCTCACGGCTGTCAACACATCTCTCCATAGGAAACGCAGAAGGCTGTAATGTAACTCTGTATCTTAGCACAGGCTCAGTGGACGAAGCACAGGGACCACTGTTGAAATTTTGATCCTCAGAATCCCTGCAAAAGCTGGCAGGCATAGCAGCTAACCTTGACACTGACACTTGAGAGGCAATGGCAGGGCTCTCCGGAGCAAGATGAATAGTAGAGTACCAGAAATCCACACGTTTAAGTGCAATGATAGACTCTTGTCTTGAGAAATAAAAATGGAGCACACACATGCATGTCCTTCCCTGTACACATACACTGACAAAAACACAGACGCACGTACGCATACACCCCATGTGCACATGCAAAATTAAAACTAATTATTTTTCCTGAGGTTGAATCTGGAAGTTGGGGAATAGCTTTAGCACGTACTGTAAGTTCTCTGTTTGTGATGGTTAAAAAAGATTGTCCAGACAATACGCACAGCCAGACTTCCGGGATGTGTTGCAGGGATCTCGTGTTGAAAGGGAAGAGCTGATGGGACACTCTTAGACCTCTCCAGTCTTCACCCTTTATAGCCTTCACAGGTCTGTGTCAGAAAGAAGTAACACAGTACAAAATCAAGTATGTTAGTGATGTGGTAACGATATCATGTGCTAGATTTCCAGGCGTAGAGTGGGTGCCATTTGAGGGACTTGAGGAATAACCCCAGGATAATGAAGAACCACATCAGCCCTCCCATTCTCTCCCCTAGGTATCAACAAGAACGCTGACTATCTTTTTCTTGTTGTTCAGTTTGATTCCGGTGGCCCTGTGGTCTGCAATGAAGAACTCCAAGGTATTGTCTCCTGGGGCACCAGTTGTGAGAAAGGGAAGCCTGCTGTATACACCAGGGTGTGCAACTACCTGGACTGGATACAACAGATCATTGAGGCTAACTAAGTATCTTTCCCGAGCCACCCTCCCATAGTGTAACTAAGTATCTTTCCTGAGCCACCCTCCCATAGTCAACTAAGTATCTTTCCCAAGCCACCCTCCCATAGTCTAACTAAGAATCTATCTTTCCGGAGCCACCCCCATAGTCAACTTCAATTTCCTACTGTGCCTGTGCCTGAGATGGGCACGGAAATAAAAACATTGTATTCTGCCACTTATTTGTCTACATATTGTCTTTGTTTGGTCATGATGAACTTTCTCTTCAAACTTGTGAAAGTAAGGTGCCATTTTCTTCAGCGTTGCAGCTACTGATAAACTGACCAGATTCCAGTAATCAATAAGTTCCTGTGCAGGGCAGCAACCATAATTAAGCTTAATGAGAAAAAACAAAACAAACAAACAAAAAAAAACCATAAGCAAGCTTTTTTTTTTTTTTTTTTTTTTTTTTGAAGAAGGTCCTCATCAGGATAAGAAAATCAAAAGATAATGGGGATGAAATTCAATTGTATCATACAGGATAAACAGGTTATATTCAAGAATATATATCTATAAAGATGTACATGTACGCATGCAATAACAATTAGCAAAAAGAGAAACCATGAACTTGAAGGAGAGTGATGAAGGGTAATAGGGACTGTTTGGAGGGAGAAAAGGGAAAAGAGAAATAAGTATATTACAATACTAAAATTAGAAAAAATAAAATATAAAAACATTAAACACATGTATAAAATGGTTAAAGAATAAAAACGTGTCAAAAGGAAAAAGAGAGTGAGCAGAAAGTTGAGCTATTTTATGGAATTTGAAGGATTCTTTCATCATTTACTTAGCATAATCAATAAAAAAAATCACTGATCACTTGACATATGGGAGACTATGAAATATTGCTGTTGTGAAAATGAGGAAGGTTACTATAACCATTACCTTTTTAAAAAACAATTATGTATTTCTTAATATATCAGAGAAATTGTGTTACTGTGATCATTTATGTTGTACCTGTCATGCAGCATAAGTTATAAAACTTAATGATGCCAAAATGTAGTTAAAAAGCCAATTGCCCAAGATGATTAATTTACAATAAAGATAGAACAAATCCCAGATTGGCCTCACCCCCAAAGCGTCGGTGCTTATATGACAGGGTTCTGTCGCTGCCTTTTTTATCAGTTTTTCTGTTTACTTAAGCCTCGCCCACCAGTATGTCCACATTCTCCAAGATCTTGCCTTCCAAAGGTGTATTACTACTTGACATGGCTTCAATGTTGGATGCTTGTTTGGTGAAATTTCAAGGGACTAAGGCCTAACTAAAGGAAATCTAATAGCATTGAAGGTGTATCTTTGTAGAATTTACGCCATCCCTACTCTAGTCTCTTTTCTACTGTTCCTGTCCACACTTAGGTGCCACATGCTCCCATTACCATGCTGCCTCACATGACCCAAAGAGAATGTAGCCCCAAACTGTTGACCTCTGAAACCATGAGCCACTATAAATTATTCAACAAATTACCTTAGGTATTGATCCAAATAATGGAAAGCTGATGATCACACTACTAGAGTAGCCATGGTCTCTGGTAATAATCTCTACCCCTATAACCTCGTCCCACCAAATCAGCCTAGATTATGTGCTAAATTAACTAAGGATAAAATTTTAAGTGGTGGATGCATATACATTTAAAATCTAGGTTCCTAAGGTGGTGGTTATCTGTGTGTTGAGTCCAGCCTAAAAATGGATATCTCTCTCGACCTCTCTCCTTTAACTCTTTCTCTCTCTCTCACACACACACTGTACACACACACACACACACACACACACACACACACACACATATATATATATACATCTTTAGTTCCTTATTGACTCTCAAGTATCATTCATTACCTCGCCAATCATTCAAAGAAAGGTCTGTTGTAAAACTACATGATTCCTGTGGACATCTAGAATGACTCAATGGAAAGGAAATCACCCTGGTGATAAGATGAAATTCTCGTTGATGATGATGATGCATAAGTCAGCTCATGGTAACCATCACAAAACACCAAAACCAAGGGGATTTTTTAAAAAGCACAAATATCTCACAGTTTTGGAAGCTGCTGAGCCCGCGATCAGGGCGGTGGAGCATCTTGGGAGGACTGGTGTCCCGACTTTCTGGTGTGCCCTCTTGCAACTGCATCCTCATGTGGTCCCATGAGCTACCTCGGATACTTTCACCTCGTACACACTCCATCGTGGGAGCTCCACATTCCCCGTCTAAATTAAGCATAATTACTTCTCAAGCCTCCTCCTTTTTTGTACCATCCTATCTGGGGTTAATATTTTAACATGCAATTATCAGAGGAATACAAGCATGCTGTCCACAGAAGACTCAGGATAGGTGGTGTGCAGGAAGATGATTACACCATTACTCGCAGTCTAAGCCTTTTTAAATTCTTGCCGATATTTGACTAGATAATCTCAGAGTTCAAGTGTAACATTATTATTGCCCCTAAGATGAAGCTAAAGAAATCTTAACTGTGGAGCCAACAGGCTGATACATTTACAATCACAACTAGCAACAGTATCATTTCCTCAGTTGTCACTAAACTACCTTTTTGTTTTATTGAGAGGAATGAGAGTTGGAAAGGAGAAATAGGGGGAGGTAGCTATGAACATATTTCCTTATATAAATGTATAAAACTCTCAATGAAAAGTAGAGAGGGTTTTAATAAATCGGGAAACTATGTCAGATTTTCTCATAAAAAATAAGATGGTTCATTCTAGAAAATTGCAATGGACAAAATAACAGAGTGAAAAGGTAAGGAAACTTTCTTCATTTACCCAATCAAGTAATGTCAGTAGGGTAGTTTTTGATCCAAATTTTTATTGGGGTGAGGAGGATTAAGAAAGTTTTTTTGATGGAAAAATCCAGAGTCATGGTTGTTTCACAATCAACAGAAAAACCCTAATTAGCTAAATAGGAACATGTTTAGATGGGTCATTTTAAGGGAATAAACTTTCTTTCCCCATTATTTATGATGAAAAATAGTTAGGAAGTTCTGAATGTATGTGGCCTGGCAAGAAGATAAAAGCTTAGGGATTCGTTGTAGGGGAACAGGGGAGTACACAAAGTCATGCTGAAGTGTGGATCCGTTTCCCAGTCACAGACCAGTGAGAGGTTTCCATAGTCTTTGCTAGGAGTCCAGCTCCCAGGTAAAGCACAATCTAGTCACAGGGAATCTGGAGAATTCACTGACTTCTGTAACAGCTACAGGCTCCTCAACCAACACAAACGTCCGGGAAGGAGTCTGAAGAGTACCGGTCGCTAAGTGTGTACATCAATGTTTTCAGGGCCTCTGGAGAAGGCAAGGAGACTCTGCGAAGGCAAAGGTAGCCAGGGAGGCAGGTTAAAGTTACTAGCCGGAGGCTGGAGAGACAACAAATAAAAGCCATGTCACAAAGAGGGGAGGGGAGAGGTGGGCAGGCACATCTGATCGGGGAGGGTTTTAGTATCACACTTCTCCCTCCTCTCTGCAGCCACATCAAAATCAGATCCTGGTGACTCCCATACGCCTTGATAGATTGGATCTTGAGAAAATAGTTAGAAGATTTTTATAAGACCTTTGCCTTTTCCTCCTACCAAAGTGTTTTTTCTTCAGCCATTCTGGTCAAGTTCCAAGGGACAATTTACAGTGTGGCCACCTCGCCTGCTGTGGTGAGATCATAGCTTGCCATGAAGATTTTTATCATCCTCACTCTCTTGGGTGCAGCAGGTGAGTTTCCAGTATAGTTTCTGCCTAGGGTGAAATCCAGATCAGTGTAGCAGTGGTTGAAAGGTAGAGTCCCTGCCCATACCTTATGGGATAGAGTGCTAAGTGGGGAATCGTTCCAAAGATAAAATTAGCTACTGAAGGAAATAAAAAAGGAAGACTCTTAGGTCATATGTTTTCCTGTCAATATATTCTCTGGGGCCCTGTGATGTCTTGGAGCATTTTGAGTACCCTGCCCATGAGACTTTACAGAGACATTCCCAGGAGCTCCTCAGTAGGCACTTGTGCGAGTCTATAAATTTGAATTTCTTTGCTCTTTCACTATCAAAGTCAAAAGTATTTCATTTATACCCCAATTATTGGCAGAAGTTAATGTTAAGAATCATTTTTAAAGTATTTATTTATTTTGTTCATATCCCTAATATACAGTACTCCCAGAATTTTTGATCAGCATCAGATGAGTCCATGTGTTAGTATTAGATAACTTTGCTATATAATTCCATCTCAACAAAGAACAGTCATTAGTTTCATAACATGTATAGTTTGTATGACACATTGTTTCGTATGAATTTTTTTAAATGTCAAAAATAAAAGCCTTGGTATCTTTGAAAAGTGTTGGTTAGACTAAACTACCCTAACCGACCCCAGCTTACTAAACTTTTTGGTTTTGTTCCCTCCCCCATCCCTAATCTTTCTAGAAGCCATTTTAGGAGAATACCAGGACTCAGAGGAAAACTTACCAGATGATTTTAACATTCCTTACATGGCCTATTTGCAATCCAGTCCAGAGCCTTGTGTGGGGACCCTGATTGACCCCCAATGGGTGCTTACCGCTGCTCACTGTTCCTTACCGTAAGTGGCTCCTTAGTCACGGGAGCTAGGAGGGATCTGTGCTATGGTCTGGGAAGCTACATGCCATGGAATTAGATAATCCAAGATGATTAAATCTCCTTCCATCTTACCCACTTCAGTGCAGAAATCAGTAAGCAGTCTTAGAAGGCGTATTTCAAATATTCATCTATAAGCCTTCACGACTCATTTATTAGGCTGTTTAGTATAAGCATTGAGGGAACAAGATAGAACCAAGTTTTCTTCACGGGGCTTACACTCTGATAGCAAGAAGTAATCCATAGCAGAGAGAAGTCATCAAAAATAAAGAATAAAACAGGACAGCAAGGCGTGGGCTGTGGGGACAATGTATGGATAGGATGTACAAAGAAGGCTCTCTAAAGATATGAGGCCAGCGTGGGGAAAAAAAGTCAGCTCAACAAACGAAGCCTAGAAATGTGCCAGGGCAAGGGAACTGCATTCAGCAGTGTCTGGTGTCACAGAGGAATGAGGGTTTTAGAACCCTGAGGAAGCAGGGTTGACTGAGGGTGTGGGATCCGGGAGGCGGTCATAGGAGGAAGCTGAAGACAGAGACCACACCCTGCAGGCAAAACAAGAGAAAGCAAGGATGGTCTGTATGACGTAATGCACCTCTTCTCGAAATGCACTTTTTCAGTCATCTTACCGCAGTGATGTCACAAACAAAATGATCACACAGATTAACGGTCACTCAAGCAAACGCTGCCCCATCCTAAACTCCACGTGTATCGATGAAACGTCTAAGCATTTAGAATGGCAGGGAGCTTCGCTTAGGGCTTTAGGGTTTCGTTATCAGTTACATTGTAAGTGCATACTTACAAGAAGGAAAAAAAAAAAAAAGTCCCGACAGAATGAGAAGAAAAAAAGTAGCTTTATGTCCTCTTTAACAACTGATGTGTCACTACACACTTCCTCATCTGCTACAATTCTTTCTTATTCTTCTTTCTAAATGTTATTCTATAACCAGGCATGCATTTGTTTACATGTATACATGTATGCCATGCAGGGTCCCCATACGAGGAGGAACGTTGTGTTATTCTGAGAATCTCGGGATATTTTGTTGTTGTTGTTGGATGTCAAGAATTCATTGAGGAGGTGGAGAGACAGCTCGCAGTCGGAAGGACTTGATTTGATCCCATAGCGCTCACATCACCACAGAGTTCACCAGCATCTGTAATTCGGGGTCCCAGGGGAATTTAGTGTCCTTTTCTGGCCCCCACAAACACTTTCACATGTGTAGTGCACATACACGCACACAGGCAAGGCACTCATACACACAAAATAAAAGAAAATATTTTAATTATTTTTAGGAAAAGAAAAGAGGACACATTTAGTGATGGGAGTCTGACCCAGAGCTTCAGCTTCATCTCACACATCACTCAGCCATCTGGTAGTTCAAGGCCAGTTTGACTCAACGGAGACTGGAGGCTTACCCTGTACGTTAGGACAGAAACACAGGAAACAAAAGCAGCTCACATGATGGCAGGGTTCACAATCAGACTTCCCATCACTACTGTGGATGGAACGGATTGCCTTTTGGTATGCTGCATGCCCAGCTTCCTTGTGACGGGCATCTGAATTTGCCTAGAGAGTATAACAGGAAATGATTTGTTATCGCTACAAAACTTCTCACGGGGATTCGGGGATCTAGGATCAATGTAGAAAATGCATGGGAAAAAAATAACTATCTAGTCTTGAGAGGAGCATTGGATAGGCTAAGAATGTTGGAAGCAGTAGTCACAGGTTCCAACCTGCCTGAGTAAATGCGGAGTATACAAAGAGCTATGGGCTGCTAGTTCAGGTTATCCAAATCTCAGAAGAGGAGCTATTGAGGATCCTGTTGATACCTGATCCCATGCTGGTCATTCCACATGCTTACTGATGACATAACAAGCGTGTAAGCTATTACTGTATACACAGTGTCTCACTTCAATTATGCAGCTGGACAGTAAAACTAAGTTGATTGGATCAGGTGACTTCCGACATCACGTGACTGTTTCCTCTTCCATCTCTCTGCCTTTTCCTTTTCCCCAAGAGCTAAAATCCGACTGGGAGTTTATCAACCCCACATCAAAAATGAAAGAGAACAGACGTACAGTTATGCGTTGACTGTAGTCCATCCTAATTTTGATGCGAATTTCCGGAGAAATGACCTGATGCTGATAAAACTCTCTTACCCTGCTACTATAAACATGCACGTGGGAACTATAGCCATAGCCATGGAAGCGATGACATTTAATGAAACCTGCTTTATACCAACATGGACCTGGAATAGTTACAAGAACTGTGAGTGTTTGACTATTCTCTCCATCTTGGGGAGGTCGGAGCTGGGAAAAGAGGTGGCTGACTATGCTTGATAGAAAGAGGAAATACAAAGTTCTTTTTTTTTTTAGGATCTATTTTTTATTTAAATTAGAAACCGCCTTATTATTTTATGTATCAATCCCAGTTCCCTCTCCTTCCCGTTCTCCCTGTCCCCACTGACCCCATCCCATCCCTCTTCTGTTCCATAGAAAGGGTGAGGCCTGCTATGGGGGGGGGGGGATCATCAAAGTCTGTCCCATCATTTGGGGCAGGACTGAGGCCCTCCTCCATGCATCAAGGCTGAGTATCCCTCTGTGGGGAGGGGGCTCCCATTGTCCATTCATACACTAGCTATAAATGTCCCATTACCAGGGTCCCCACAGACTGCCCAGGCCTACCACCTGTCACCCACATGCACGGGCTCTGGTTCCATCCTATGCTGGTTTCCAAGCTGTCAGTATAGTGATTGCCATCAAGCTTCTTGCTCATTAGATTGATACAGGGAAGCTACTCTGACAGCAACAAATAGGGTGGGCATTAATTGCCCCATCTCTAAAATATTTGAGAACTGGAGCTGGTAAACTAAGTACAAAGGAATTAGAGAGACCTGGGAGTCCCTACTGATAAAGATGGCATTGGAGGTGAAAGGCGGGCTTGCCAAAGCGTACCATGCATTTCTTAGGAAAAAGAGTAGAAAACGCAAAGCAGACCTTTCTTTTTGAGAAAGGATGAAGGATGCTTTCAACTTCTCTACCGCAGAATCCAGCCTGTGTCCAGTGGTCCCCGAATGACAAAGAAATGTTTGAAGGAGAAATGGACTCTCTTGCCAGTGCTGGTCCCTTACAGAGTGTAATTTTCATAACTTGCGTCAAAAGTGAACGTTCCTCACCTCTGGGTTAATTATTAGAGCATGCTTGCAGTTACGTCCCTAGAGAGACACTCCTCATGGGAATAATCACAGTCCATAGTGTAAGCACACATCCCTCTGCCTTACGGGACCAACTTGGGAAAAACAGAGTGAACTGATTGATATCTGAAGGAGTGTCTCTTCAAACGTGGCTTTCTTGTGTCCTTCCTGGCTGTATAGTGACTGCTTAGTTGTTATGCTTATTTTCGATTTTCTCAAATTTAGTCAGGTTTAAATCCAGCTTCCGGTGTCTACACCACAAAACAAAATGAGGACTTTCCAAATAAATGTATTTTTCACAACACGTAAAATACAAAAGTGTTGGGTTTTCAGTTTTTTGAAATGTTGTCCTTTAGAAACGAACTGATTAGGAATCTAAGTGTCTAAGCTTTCTAAAAAAAAAAGCAAACAAAAAGTACATTTCATGTGGGTTTTGTCATTGACTCCTTAAGCTTTGTTTGCAGTAATTCCATCACACTTTTAAAAAACTAATTTATTAAATACCATTTGATTGTTTGTTTTTGTTTTGTTTTGAGAGGGTTTCTCTGTAGCTTAGGGGACTGTCCTGTAGCTCTCTCTGTAATCCAGGCTGGCCTCAAACTCACAGAGATTCACCTGCCTCTGCCTCCCAAGTGCTGGGGCTAAAGGCATGAGCCACCACTGCCCAGCCTTAGGTACCATTTGAAACAAATGGAACTACACTACATGAAGATTTTATTTTGTCAGATCTGAGTATTAAAATAACCACAACAGACTATCTCTAAAAGACTTCTCCTACAAAGTTCCCACAATCTATAAGGAAATCTTTATTTCAAGTAACTCGAGTTGCTTTCACATAGCTTGTTAAAAATAAAATACACAAAACTGAGCATAACTTCTTTCTCCCTCTCTTCTGACTTAACATGTTTTGATCTATTCTACAGAACACTATCTTGCTAGATAAGCTATCAGCCTTTTAAGTACCATAGTGCTTAGCTTGGCAAATTGATGACTTTTTTTCTTACTACTCTTTAATAGAGATTAAAGTACCTAGTCCCTTGGTTAAGATCCCTGTACCCAGACATTACAATACAGTAGCAACTTCTGTGATGGAGACGAACAATATGAACAAACGTGTATGTGAATTTCTATATAGATACACATACACCAAAATAATCATTTACAAATGATCACTTTATAGCCAAGAACAGCATCGTAATGGCCATTCAGAGAATGAGGAGAGACATGTAATAGCATCTCCACAAAATTCGATTTGCAGCTTAAAAGTTCCTAATGACAGTACTCTACCAAACTTTTCTAGGCTCACTTATGTTTAGATACACAAGTCATTATCACTGTAGGACAATATCCACTGCAGTAACATGCTAAGCAGGATTATAACCTAGGAGGGAAAGATTAAAATACAGCTGAAATAGGTAGTGAGTGCTACCATCTAGATTTGTGTAGGTATATATCGTCTAGTGATACAATTCTCCGAACACATCCATCATTAAGTGAAGCATGACTGGACGTGGAAGCATGGCTGGTAGGATGACTTATCAGGTAAAGGCACTTGCCACCAAAACTGATGTCCTGCATTCAATCTCCAGAGCCTACATGGTGGAAGCGAGGATTGAATCCTACAAGTAGTCTTTTGACCTTCACAGGCCCACCATGGCATAAGCACATAGTTACACACACACACACACACACACACACACACACACACACACACAGTGAATAAATAATATATATTTTCTCAAGAGGTAAATACAAAGATGATGGAACAGATGCCCAACAAAGGGTTGTCGTAGGGATTTTGGAAGCCAAAGTCTTTGTTCTGTTTCTTTGTGGGCATTTATAACCTCCATACAATTGTTTCAAAATTTCTGGACTATGTACAGTAGATAGAACTATACTATACATCCAGTGATGGGAAGATGAAGAACTTTGGGATCTGTTTTTCCAACATGTAAATCCTGCCTGAGGAACTCTAGGAAGGATTTGGAGTGTCTACAGGTATCTGCATTGGATAGTTTCAGGGTTGAATTGATTCACAAACTAAGGACTTGTCCCAAGGCCCATTCATCAGAACAGCTCTGAATTTCATCTGTCTTTCCTTCCCCACAGTCAGTGACCCTGACATCCTGACGTGGACAAATCAGTACTCGCTTTCCCCAAATGACTGCTGGAACGTGCTCCAACAACAGAGACAAGAGACAAGGATGAACATCATGTGCATAGGACAGTCACCTAATGTCATAACTTCAATTAAGGTATCTTTCCTTTACCCGTGCGAGAAGACAGCACAGAATCTGTTAGAAGAAAGAGGTATGGTTGGTAACTGAAGCATCACATACCAAAAAGACCTCCCGCAGAGCGGAGGGCAGAGTGCTGAAGTCCCTCTCTCTGCTGCTCACTCTGCAATGTACTCCATTCCCCTCCCCATCTCGAGAGTGGAAGAGATCTGGGGTAGACCATTTGTCCTTCCCATCTCGAGAGTGAAAGAGATCTGGGGTAGACCATTTGTCCTTCCTCCTCTTTGCACTCAGGTTAGATAAAATCGGAACTACAAAGGGAGAATATACAGCAGACTGAAGCAAGAGTTATCCCCTCTCCCATGGAGCGAATGCATTCCCCCAGATGATGTTGCCACTGTTACCTGCCGTATCTTAGTATTTACTCTCCATCCACGGCAACAAAGTGACATTGACAACTTGTCCTCTTTTCCTGCTCAGGAGGTCTCTGCTGCTCCAGCCATCTGCAATGGGAGGCTTCATGGAATATTGTCCTGGGGGAAAGCAGGCATAACCAAGGGAAGTGAAGGCTTCTTCACCGAAATTCATCCCTATGCGAGATGGATCTTGAAAACGATGCATTCCCATTGAGAAGCCGTATCGCTCGGGGTAGAATAATGCAACCTCTACAAGGAATTAAAAACTCTTCAAAACCCAAAACAACCCAATAAAATGACACCAGAAATTTACGACTCCTGCTTTCTTTTTCATAATGTAAACTTTCAGAGTGATGAGAAATTTGGTAACAAACGATTTGTTCATTTATACAAAAAATGATCAGTCACCAGTTTTTCTAGTAGATTCTAAGCATGCTAAAGGGAAATGAAATGTGTGACTGTGTGACTATGAAGTGACAAATGCAAGAGGAGCCTACTGTTGTCAGGGTTTTGTTTGTTTAATTTTTGTTTTGTTTGCTAAATGGTCATGTCAAACTGCGTTCTACAATAGACTTGCACAGCTTTCAACCTCCGTCATACAAATTCCTTTTTTTGTCTTAAATGAGGCATTTGTCTCTCTCTCTCTCTCTCTCTCTCTCTCTCTCACACACACACACACACACACACACACACGAACAAAATCAAGTCAGTGAAAAATAAATGTGCTATAGTGATAACGATCTCATCATCAGACAATGAAAATTGGTACGTACACAATTAAATTCTCCTCCGCTGTGAAGAAGAGGGGCTGGGGTGTTGTGGTTTGAGTAGGAATGGCCCACACAGGCCCCTCATACACTTGAATGCTTGCTCACCAAGGGAGTGGGACTATTAGGAGGTGTGGCCTTGCTGGAGTGGGTAAATCTTAACACATGTCTCCCCTTCGTGCTGTGACCTAGGAGATCAAAACTTCATCTCTCTTCCCGCTAACTAACAAAAGCCCAACAAAGTATCATCGCATGGTATGTATTTGTACTATTTGTATGTTCATACCTCAGTTTCCCCAATTTCGCCAGTTCAGGCAGGCAGAACTGAGTGAGGCACTCTCCTCCGTTTCTGAGAAATCGTCAAAGGAAGCAACTATCCATTATGTAACCAAGCTCCCAGAAAAAATGCATCTCCTGTGCTTACACGTTACAGGTCCCTGGTTGTCTTCTTTGTTGCTGGCAGAACACTACAAGTCCTTACACCGTACTGATGAGGAAGGTTGGCGACAGCTGGACTTTGCCTACATCATTTCTTTGCCTGTAGGTTTCACAAAATTGCTAACACCTGTGGGTGTAGCAAAACTTAGAGATCAGACAATTTATCCTTACACATTAACATTGTCTTGTTATGGAATCTCTCCTTAAGCATTACCATCACCACCCTGCTATACACAGTCACTCCCGGGCTGTTCTGTTAGAAGGCACTGCCCATGCTCAAAGAAAGAGGATCACAGAGAGTAGAGACATGGAACTTAGAATGTGCACGCTACAAGAGTCAACGGATTTGTGTTAAGTACTGAAGTGTCTCGGCTCCTCTTTCCTAGATGATGAATACAGAAACAACTTTTTAATTTAAATAAAAAACAATCTTATTTTACATACCAATCCCAGTTATTTTCCCTTTCTATCACCCCATTCCCCATATTATCTCCCCACCCCGCCCCTATCCATTCCTCAGAGAGGGTGAGGCCTCCCATCTGGGAATCAGCAAAGTCTGTCACATCATTTGGGGCAAGACTGAGACCCTCCCCACTGTATTAGGCTGAGCAAGGTGTCCCTCTATAGGGAATGGGCTTCAAAAAGCCAGTTTATGTACTAGGGATAAATACTGGTTCCACTGCCAGAGGCCCCATAGTCTGCCCAAGCCCCCCGCCCCCCAACTGACGCCCACATTCAGAGGGTTTAGTTCTGTCTTATGCAGGTTCCGCAGCTGTCAGTCTGGAGTCCCTGAGCTCTCCTTGCTCAGGTCAGCAGTTTCTGTGTGTTTTCCCAACATGGTCTTCACCCCTCTGCTCATCACTCCTCCCTCTCTACAACTGGATTCCAGGACTTCGGCTCAGTGCTTAGGTGTAAACCCTTGCTTCTGCTTCCATCAGCTACTGGATGAAGGCTCTAGGATGGCACATAAGGTAGTCATCACTCTCAACAGAGGGGAAGGGCATTTAAGGTAGCCTCTCCACTATTGCTTAGATTGTTAGTTGGGGTCATCCTTGTAGATCTCTGGACACTTCCCTGGTGCCAGATTTGTCCTTAAACCTATAATGGCTCCCTATATCAAGGTATGTCTTTCCTTGCTCTCTTTCTCTGTCCTTCCTCCAACTCAACCTTCCTGATCCCTCATGGTCTCCTCCCTTTCCCCCTCTCTCCTTCTCTCTCTCCCAACTCCGTCTCCCTTCTCTGCATGCTCCAAATTTCCCAGGAGATCTTGTCCCTTTCCCCTTCTCAGGGGGACCATGTGTGTCTCTCTTAGGGCTCCTCCTTGTTTCCTAGCTTCTCCGGGGTTGTGAATTATAGGCTGGTTATGCTTTGCTCTATGCCTAATAGCCATATATGAGTGGGTCTGTCTTTCTGTGTCTGGGTTACCTCCCTCAGGATGGTTTCCTCTAGTTCCACCCATTTGTCTGGAAATTTCAAGATATCACCGAGTAGTACTCCATTGGGTATATGTACCACATTTTCTTTATCCATTATTTGGTTGAGGGATATCTAGTTTGCTTTCAGGTTCTGGCTATTACAAATAATGCTGCTATGAACATAGTTGAACATACATCCTTTGGATCTATGCCCAAGAGTGGAGTTGCTGGGTCTTGAGGTAGATTGGACAAAAGCCTGTGATACTGTGATATTTGAAGGAGCCTATGAGACCCCTTTCCTCACATTTATCTGAATACAGATGTTTTAGCACATGTGTGTTACAAATATTATTACCTAGCCTATACCGTACACCACTTCCTTCTAGCTCTGAATACTTTTGTTAATACCCATTTTTTTCACTACCCATCACTTCTCTCAGCTTGGGAGCTCTTTGAAGGCAGAAATGGAAACTTTGAAAGTATGTATCTCCAACAAAAACAAAACCAACCAACCAAAAAAAAAAAAAAAAAAAACACTTTCCAGTTCTGGTGAGGTCTATGCTGTTTAAAACCATGGCTTCTTGTTTAAAAATACTCCAATTAGGGATATCATGATAGCTCAAGGATGGCAAAGAGACATTGCGTACGCTGCAAGGGCTTGCAGTACCAGCGTGCAAATGAATACCAGTGTCACAAAAATGGCCTAGCATCATAGAGACAGGAGGGGTCTGTATCACACACAGAGCTCAGAGAGCAGCCTACCTGCCCAAGTCAGAGAGCAGGGGCCTGTGGAGGCATCGTGAACAACTCTCTTGAATTAAGTAAGTTTTTCAGAAGGTCAAAACTCAGATCTAGAGAGTGTGAGAGACCAAGTTCAGAGTTAGTTGTTCCTTCCCTCCGATACCACTCTGTACTCTAACGGGATTACCAGCGCTGCCGTGGAAATCATTCATCGATTTCCTTTTCTCTCCTAGATATCTCTCTTGGTTTGTCACTGATATTTCATATCCTTCTCTCTTCTTTATGTTTTACAGAGACACTTAGCTAGATGCCATCTCATAAAGAGGCTTTCGACATCATGATGTTTGTCTTCTTCTGCGTTCTTTCAACCCTGCTTGGTGAGTACCTGCGCACCTGTCTCTATTTCCCGGAGAGGAGTCCTTGGGAAGGCATGGAAGACAGAAAAATGTCAGAGGCATCTTTTCAGACGTAGTGGATGACTGCTTCTCTCTGCCTCTTGGCATTACCGCTGTGCCTACCCAGTTTCGTCACCCGCTGTGACAACACCTGCCTTCTGCACTTCAAGTTGATTGCTTATGTACTCTGGGGGAGACATAGACATTGGCACATCTACATGAGGTCCATTCCACTGTAGGGGTTATAGACTGGGGATATGGGAGGAGGGACATGGGGTGGAAACTTGAGGGAGCAGGTTGGGTGGGTTGGGTGCTGGAGGCTCAGTGGGAGGTAGGACAGAAGGAGCGGCGATGAAAGACACGTCTTTGATAGGGGAACAGTTTTGGGGTTAGGGAGAAACCTGAACTAGGGAAACCCCTAGAAATCCATTAGGATGACCCCCAGTTAAGACTCTTAGCAATAGTGGAGAGGATCTCTAAACTGGCCGTCTACTGCAATCAGATTGGTGATTACTCTGCCATCAGAGGAACTCTATCCAGTAACGGATGGAAGCAGATGCACAGATCTACAGTGACTGGGGCACTGGACTGAGCTCCAGGGACTCTGCTGAAGAACGGGAGGAGGGATTGTTCAAGCCAGAGGGTTCATGATGGGAGAACCCTCAGGGGCTGCTGACCTGGGCTCATGAACCAACAGTTGGGAGGGCTCCGTGGGACCAACGTCGGCCCTCTGCATGGGTGTGACAGTTGTGTAGTTTGATCTCTTTGTGGCGCTTCTAGCAGGGAGGTCAGGAATTGTCACTGGAGTTGGCTGCCTTTTGGAAACCTGTTCCCCATGCCCAGCCTTGACACAAGGGAGGAGCTCCATCCTGCCTCAACTTGATGTGCCATGCTTTGTTCAAGCCCATGGGAGGCCTGTGTCTTTCTGAATGGAAATGGAGTGGAAGGGAGAGGGAGTTAGATGGGGAGCAGAGAGGGGTAGGGTGTGGTGGGTGAGGGAAGGTCGGGGTGGGGGGGTGAACATCTGGGAGGAGGGAGGGGAAACTGTGGTCAGTATGTAAAACGAATGAAAGTTATTTAAACAAAATGTCTGAAAAGGGCGAGGAGCCCACGTGCTGTGGTAAATGTGAGAGAGTCAGGGGACTAGCTTGTGGGGAGGGCGCTCGCCTGGCATCTTTACCTGTGTGCTTGCTCTAGGGGAACCAAACCCAGGCTGTCAGGCTTCCTCAGCAAGTGCCCTCTCCACTGAGCTTCCTTACAGACCAAGGAAACTCACATTTCAAACTGAGGATTATCTATTTACAACTCAAATGGCGAACGATATTTCATTTTTAAAGTAGGTGTTTCTATCCCTTGTCAATTTCTCCTGAACAAAACAAGTCACTTCCTTAGGAAATTTGATTTATACATTTAAATGCGCTTGAAGAGGAGGGTGCGATAACTTGGTCTTTGCTTTGAGCTTAATTTTGTCTTCAGGTGTTTCCTTAGTGATTCATGAAAATACCCTCCCCCTCTCTTTCCAGGTGCCTTTGCCTATAACCCAGACCACATAGCTGGGGCCACTCCCCCCTACCTGGTCTACCTGAAGTCTGAATACTTGCCCTGCACTGGAGTCCTGGTCCATCCTCTTTGGGTGCTCACAGCTGCGCACTGCAATCTACCGTGAGTGATAAAAACCCCAGACCATTGCTGCTGTAAGAGTCCTCAGGTTAGATATGGACCCAGCCACCAGCATATGACTTTCAGTGAACGGGACGTAGAATACCTCCGGGGAACGTTCACTGGGGAAGGCTGATCAAGGTCCATATGATTGATTGCAGAAGCGTTGATAAGTGCTTTCATGGGCATCCCTATCATTCTAGGAAGCTCCGGGTGTTTCTTGGGATCACAAACCCAGCAGACATCTCCGAAAAGAACGTGGAGGTGACCGGCTACGAGAAAATGATCCATCATCCGTACTTCACAGTCTCGTCTGTTTCATATGACCTCATGTTAATCAAACTGGAGAGAATAGTTAAACTCAGTAACCACATAAAAACGGTCGAATTGCCGCAGCACATCGTCCCTGTGAATACCATGTGTTCCGTCTCCACCTGGGCCTACAATCTGTGTGATAGCAGTGAGTTCTAGGCGCTGAATGATGAATGATGACTTCCGGCTTTGCTGGGATTCTCTCACAGCCGGGCTTCCTTTTACCTCCTTTTACCTCCATTACCTTTTACCTCCATTCTTTCATGGGTTTGTTTGTTTGTTTGTTTCAAGCTTATGCAACCCCTTTTCCTCCTCCTCACCGGAAGACTTCCAAGCCTTCCCTCAGCTCTACCTTTCTATCTTATAAATTAATGTTTACTTGTAACTATGAAAGAAGTAATTTTAGTGAGAATACATTTATACGTCTAGGCCTGGCTCGATGTGTAGCAGAACTTCCCATTGTCTGTCTCAGGGACTCGATCTTCTTCCCTCTAAAATGAAACACAGCACTTTATCAAAAGTTTTCATGCCATTTCAGGCGATGAGTGAGCTCAAATCCTTGAAACCTGAAACTCGTAAATATCAAATATAAGATAAATCCATAATATCGTGGCAAGTCGACAGAGCACTACTAGGTATGCTTGAAAAAAACAAATACCTGAAGACTAGGGAGAAAGAGAATGGGAAGAAGCTTATCGCTAGATACATAGCCGCGTGTTTGAGTGTAGAGAAACCATAATAAATAACAATATAGTATGTACTTGAAAAACAAAAAAATTCCTAGAAAAAAACAAGTTTTGAATGTCGGCATATCAGCACCAGGAAATGGCAACGAGAGTTATATTTGCTAGGTATAAAAGAGAAAAATGACTTCCCCGCAAAAGAAGTTGGACCTTATTTTCGTTCCTCAGAAAAAAAGCATGGGGCTGTAAAAGTTCTGTTATACTAGAAAGCAAAGCAAAGGAGCTCAGTGTTTGTTTTGAAAATTAGAGTCATTTTCAAATAAACATTTAGCAGTAAACACACATTCAAATTAAGAAAAGTAAAATCTCAAAATATGGAACATTCCCCCAAGAATCCCTTAGCAGAGCACCTGTAGATAGATTTATAGTTTCATTATTCTCATTCTATACCAGATTATAAATAGGTTCTTTTTGTTTTGGGTTTTTGTTTGTTTGGGGGAGGTTGTTCTGTTTTGTTTTATTCTTTCTTTCTTTCTTTCTTTCTTTCTTTCTTTCTTTATTTTACATCCTAACTAAAGTTTCCCCCTCCTTCTGTTCCCAGTCCATCCTCCAATTCCCCCTCTGACTCTCTTCCACTACCCACCCTCCCCCTTAGAAACCCTTTCTTTCTCTGTGCACCATTAGAGGCTGACCTGGAACTCACTCTGTAGACCAGGCTGGCCTCGAACTCACAAAGGTCCACCCAACTCTGCCTCCTGAGTGTGGGGATTAAAGGCGTGCTCCATCACCTTCTGGCCCAGAAACACTTTCTGATGGGTATGCATGACTGGCAATGCTTGTGAGACTTTGATGTGAAAGAAACTACTTGAATTAGAAACCAGAATACAAGGTGTTAAATCCTACTATACCACCTAGTCTGGTTGGTTTTCCTTTTCTTTTTCTAGTGTCTTGGGTAATATTTTTAATTCATTATTATGATTATTATATTACTTACTTATCAGATAATTATTTTAGCCACCTGACAAATAAGAAATTAGACTCTGCATTTCTAAATTCCTTCAAGCTCTAAAACTTGTGTAACAAAAGACACTCTCCAAATGTTTAAATTTCCAGACAAATGTTAAAGCGATTTGTTCTGTTTCGTTGCAGGGATGTCTCACATGTACAAATCACCCTCCTGAGGAGAGGGACATTTGCATGACAGCAAACTTTTAATTAGATATCTCCTGTGTGCTTAGTGTCTAAACTCCCCGGTTCTCATTTCTCAGAGTTTGGACTCTTTTCCCTAATAATAGAGCAAGTGTTGACAAAGGAGGAAAGCAAAAGGAAGCTTTGGTACTTAGGAGAGCTGATGTCACCTAAGACTTCTCTCTTCCCTCTAGCCAAGGATCCTGACTCACTGCAGACAGTGAACATCTCTGTCATCTCCAAGGCTGAGTGCAGCAATGGCTACAAAGCCTACGACATCAAAGAAAACATGATCTGTGTGGGCATCGTGCCAGGGCGGAGGCTACCCTGCAAGGTAAGGTATTCTCGATGCCTCGTTTTCATCATTCAGTTTCTAGTCTTCTCCAGAAAAATGACCTGGTTCTTTCTTTCCTGGCAGGAAGTGTCCGCTGCCCCAGCGGTATGCAATGGCGTACTTTATGGGATCCTGTCTTATGCAGATGGCTGTGTTCTGAGAGCTGATGTTGGTATCTATACTAGCATCTTTCACCTGATGCCCTGGATTGAAGACACCATAAAAAATAACTGAGCTCCCACAACAGGAAGAACTCGCAGAACTACGTGGAGAAAAAAAAAAACTTGTGCCCACATCTGACCTCACAATTAAACAAATGGGCTCCTTGGGCGGTGATGAGCACTCCAGGTTCTACTTTAGCACACTCAGTGACTTAGCAGTTACTCACACAGCCCTTTCTCTCTCTCTGTCCCATCACCGGAAATGGGAAACTCAAGGGTTACCATTTCTCAAGCCAGCTGGTAATAGAGTTATTGAAATGGGGGGCCAATTTACGATGATTTGGGAATATCAGACTCTACTTCTACCACCACCAAAATTAGGTGTTTTCAGAGAGTTAACACATCATTTGGGAAAAGGTCGTCTCACAGTGAATGAGATAACAGAGGAATCGATCAGAGTAAGGCCTTAAAGACAGGACTGTGAGAGTCACTGCATTAAGTCCCATAGCCACACAACTCCTTTTTAATTTATTCATTATTTTACATCCTGGCTACAACCCCCCCCCCCCCCCCGTCCTCTCAGCTTCAATGCAATCCTCCTCCTCCGCATATGCTCAGAAAGGGACATCAGCAAAGAATGGTACATCAAACTGCGGTAAGATCAAACACGTTCTCCTGTATTCAGGGTGGACAGGGTGATCCAGAAAGAAGAGTAGGTCCCCAAGAGCCACACAAAGCACCGAGGACAGCCCCTGCCCCCATTGCCAGGAGACCCACAAATAAACCGAGCTATGCAACTGATACACATATGCAGAGGGCTTAGGTTGGCCCCATGCAGGCTCCCTGGTTGTCGGTTCAGACCCTGTGAGTTCCCATGAGTCTAGTAATCAGTTTCTGGTTTCTGTGGGTTTTCCTGTGATGCCACTGACACTACCACACCCCCCCTGCTCCCCCCCCCCCAAGCTCCGACAATCCCTCTCCTCAACAGGACTCCCCAAGCTCAAGTTGGGCCTAATGACCACACAACTCTTAGTACCAGACTTGGATAAAGTTCAGTCACTCATTTGGAATGTCTACTTGCAATGAAAGAGGTTAAAGTTCTAAGATCACTGGAGCTTAGAACAGAGTCAACTTTGCTGGCATAGATTTGCCTCTTGGTGTTTTGAGGCGAGTTATTCAGGGTAAAGGGGTTCCGTGGCAGCGTCCTGCATCCGGGTCATTACATGTTGCTCTCATGCATTGGCTGCGTCGGCTGCCTCATTCTCATGCACTGACTGCCTCAGGAGCTCTGCTTCATCCAGGTTGTCCTCAGCTCACTTCCACAGCTCCAGCCTTGGCCACAGAGTTCCAACTGGCAGGTTTTCGTGGGGGAGTTCTGTTCGGCCAGTTGAAAAGCAGAAGCAAAGAGGATCTGTAGCCACTACAAGTAGACCATCGGCGCCTTTCAGTACAGAAAGCTCTGAGGCTAAACTCCTCCTCTCGGGGGTAGTAAAACCTCCGAACTGAGAGTTCCTGGAACTAAAACTGTGTGTGAATTCCTAAATGCAAATGTGAGAGCGTCGCCACCATATATGTCTTACCAAGCGAGATTTTAGTTACGGAGAAAACAAGAAGAACTGATCTCATGACATCTTACCATGCAGAAATGTTCTTCAGCTTAAACAACTACCAATACTGCTGCAGAGGTGTCTGGATTTCACAGGTCTGGGTGTCATCCGCCTGTCTTACCATAGGCTCTATAAACTCATTGACTTCCTCTATTGGAGATAAGTTTGGTGAGAAGGGATGTAGATTGCCTAAGTCATGAAGGCAATTCAATAGTGGTATTGATTAAGGGTGGAAAAATACAAACCCTCAACATACTTCTCTGGCCCTATGTTTTACTATGGTTTAAGATGAGACCAGGAACACTTCTGGGTTGGGAAAACGAAGACTAAAGCCATGCAGACTAACTAGTATTAACACACTGAAGGCACTCAGATCTCTGTCAAGGACAGGATGGGAATACATATTACATTTCCTTGTATCCATTGTCTTAATTCACTTAGCAGTTGGGTTTTTTTTTTTTTTTTTTTTTTTTTTTTTTTTTTGTGGGACAGGAAACAAACTTTCAACTTATATAGATGTCTGGTATTGAACTTTTTTCTACATCCTCAAATGGTAGAATGCACAATGATAAAAAAAAACATAAAAAATAAAGGACCCATTTAGTTCCTTGGAGCCCCTCTATAAGATGCTACTCACATCCATGCAGATGTAACACTACCACACTTCAGGTGAGAGTCAACAAAAATCTTGGGGAAGACACAAATATTCAAATATAGCACTTGACCAGAGGAGAGATTATTTTAAACTACACAAAATCAGAACCACAGAGCCAATGGATATTATATAATTAGGCTAAATATGCTCTGGTTTCATTTGATGCAGAATGATAGAAGAGTCCCTAAATGTAAAAAGAGAGGGATTGTTGCTTCAACTAAGGACTGAGCTAAGAAAATTACAAAGCAAATAGTTTGTCTTTGAAGCTACCTTTAACCTTCTTGGTTACCATCTTCATGGAAATATGTTCAACAGTTCTCCAGTTCCCACTGGATACCAATGGTCTCTTGTTGAACCAGAGACTGACCTCATTCTAAAAATGTATTTCCTCAATTTCCTTACATCTCTGATTAATCATCTTAATGTTCACTCTCTTAAGGATGCAGCCTTCACATAGCAGCATGTGAGGTGGTTCTCAAGTGCCACCTACCTCAGTGATGTAGAATTATTTCTTCAGAAATAGTTCTGATTCCTTAGATGTTGGAGCCCAAAGGAAAAATAATGGATTTTGGGGGGGTGGGGAGAGGAAAGAAATAGAGTTGATGGGAGATGTCATTCTGTAATATGTTTCTCTTATTCATGAATAAAGCACTGTTGCCCAATAGGAAAACAAAATGGGGGACTAGGACACAAGGAGGATTTGAGGAAGTAGTAAGGAGGATTCAAGATGGAGGACAGAGAGAACAGAACACCCGTCTCTTTCTGGTAAGATGAGACCACGTGGAAATACTTAGATTAATAGAAATGGGTTAATATTTAAGACAGAACTAGCCGATAAGAAACTAGTAACTGGCCAACAGCTTTAAATCAAATACAGAGGTCTCAGGGTGTTAATTGGGGCTGGCTTGGCAGTGGGAAAAACCTGCTCATCACATAATGATTTTGAAGATGTGTTTCAGAGGATCACCTTACTCATGGCGGTGAAGGTCCGTTTGTAGTGAGATATTCACTTTGTCTCCCTCTGTGGCACTGACCACGCCCATTGGGGGTGGAGCCAGGTGTAGTGAGGTAGTCCTTCTGTAGCACTGACCACGCCCATTGGGGGGTGGAGCTATGGGCGGAGGTGACCTGAGGAAGGAGGTCGGAGGGGGCCAGGAAGGTGCTCTTTTTCTGGCGTGACTTGGACAGGAGAGGATCGGGTTGAATTTCCTGGTGTTCATCTGTCTAGGTTGTAAGTTATTTCTCCCTGAATAAACATCTATTCGGCCTATTTGTTTATCCTGATCCTTATTTACCGCAATAGCCAGGGGCGGAAGTGACCTGTGGAAGGAGGTCTGAGGAAGATCCAGGGAACGCTCTCTTGCTGGAAGGACTCGGACAGGAGAGCATCCGGTGGAACTTGCTAGTGTTCATCTGTCTAGGTTGTAAGTTATTTCTCCCTGAATAAACATCTATTCGGCCTATTTGTTTATCCTGATCCTTATTTAACCGCAATATCTGTTTATGCCTAATATGGATCCCCTTATACCCAGAGCTCAGTCACTTTTTCTCAGGCATCTATGAAGCATGGAACAGCTTGTTGGGTGATTATCTTGGCCTCTTCTCCCCTCTACAATGCAGGACACACACCTGATCTACTTAAGCTGCAAAGTGTGATCTTCACATGGTCTCTGGCCTCACCTGCTTTTCCTGGTACATCCCCAACCATGTTAACAGGTGCTGCCTCTCAGGAAAGAGGCAAAATTGTTCCCAAGGATGTCTTCCTGCCTGCTCCCATCATCCTGGCAGAGACAATGCAATGAAGGACTGATAATATTGTATTTAAAGTCAGAATTGCTTTGTTATGTGCAAATAACTAACAAGTGTGCAAAAAAGATATTCAGCTCCTCAGCATTGCTAATCATAAAGGAAATATAAATCACACCATGATGAGATACTTCTTCATCCCGGGAAGAAAGGCTCTGGTCAAAAGGAAACTAGATAACAAATGCCAGTAAGAGTGTGGAGAAACAGGACCCCTGTAAACTACTGATGCATCTGTAAATTTATAAAGCCACTACTCAGAAAAATATGGAAGCTTCTCAAAATTTTTCAAATCAAAGTATCATATGGGACAACTATACTGCTCTTGAGCATGGATCAAGAGGAACTGGGGCCAGCTTGACAAAGAGACATCTGAACTACCTTTTTTTTTTTTTTTTAACATCATTATTGCTATAGCCAAGAACTAAAAATTGGGTTTCAATAAAGTGAATGGATCAAAATGTATAGCACATACACACAACATAACACCATTCAGCCACACAAAGAATGAAATGATGGTTACCAGGGGCTGGGAAAGTAAGAACGAAGGAGAGGAAGGAAGATGCGGACCTGTGAGAGCTCTGTTCATATAGGAGGAAGCCCCATTGTGTTATTGCAACGCACGGTATCAGCACTGTGCGTCTCAAAACCCTCAAAGAAAGAACTTGGATGATTTTACTATAAATGATATAAGTAATTCAGGATATAGATATAGTTAACTTTTAAACCTCTCAGAATGTATATGAGCATTGAGTCAGTACCTCATTCACATAAGTTTAATGGTTTCAAAAGACAATTTTCTAATATATAAGCACAAATGTATAATCAATATATAAGCACAAATTTATAATCCCAGCACTGGGGCAGGGGGAGGGGAGAGAGGGAGCTGAAACAGGATGAAGAGGAAGTCAAGGGCAGCCTCAGGCTGCATGAGGTTAGCCTGGGTTACGTGAGACCCTGTCTTTAAAGCTTTAAAATCAAAAGAAACATGTGTTTTTTGGGCACTCTGCTGGCAGCGTACCAGTCTAGGATCAGAA